TATAATCAGAATGTGTTACATGGGGGCTTTCTCTCTATGGATCATTTGAAAGCAAATACATGGCACTGAGTCACTGATGACATTAAACAGTCGTGATGAGAGAGACTGAGTGAACAAACAAAGAGACAATGGGGTTTAAAGAGGGCCACGTTTACCCAGTGGACTCCAGAATAATTATATCTTACTGTAAATGCATCCCATGAAACCAAATCTGAACTAACTATGATGGAAGCATACACACCAAAATGTAAAATTAACATTACTGCACAAAATACTCCTTCATTGAAGATTTATCAGCGAAATTTATTTTTAAAATATATTTGTTTAAAAAAATTCTGATACAGAAAAATGACCCCTGTGAGTAGTTTAAATTGTTAGATAAATACTATAGATTTATCAATATAAATGTATAAATATGTATAAATGATTTGCTGTTGTAGTTAGCTACGGTAATTCTAATATTGTATTATTTTATATACTTTTGGAAATATATTTTATTGTAATTGTAAGAATTATGTATTGTAAGAAAAAAATCACGATATGTGTAAATAGTGACGAAAGAGACATGTTAAGTGATAAAGTGCACACATTTACTTAGTTACATAAAATAATATAAGAACATCTTATTGTCCATGACATTAAATGAAATGGGATTTGCCTAAACACTGTAAAACAGACAATAAGAAAACATTAACAATAAACCATTAACAAAGCACATTCATGTTTTACAATTTTAGAAAATAGCTATTCCCCCACATTACATGTTAGACGCTTTTATCCAAAGCGACTTACATACTCAATACTGTGACCAATCCCCACAGGAGCAATTTGGGGTGAAGTGTCTTGCCCAGGGGCACAATGACATGCTGACTGCAGTGGGGTTTGAACCTGTGCTCTCCTGATCCGAACACCAACGCACTACTCCACAGGAGTTACTTCATCATCATCAGTGTAACATGAGTTTTGTGTCACTGATTTAAAACCAGATACCTGAAAGGAAACAATGACTTGATAAGCAAATTAAAGCAGATCAAAGGGAAGTTTTTATATCTCCTCATTATTTCCTGCAATGTGTTAAAAATCGTCTTTTTGCCCTTTTGGCCTCTGATCCGTGGCCCTGTAGCTTCTCACAGTGAAAGCAGAGAGAGCGAGAGAATCATGAAGAAAAGGGAAAATGTCAAAGAAGAAGGAAGAGGCATTGAATTGAGAATGGGAGGGAGACAGATGATAAAAGAAAGCGTGGTTATACAACTCAGAGCCTGCCTTTGGCGAGGCTTCTTGAGTACGGCTGCTAAGATAACAAGGCAGGAATTATCTCCCAAAGTGCTATTAATAGCAGGCAAGTCACATCTTGTCCCTCAGTGAGAGAGCATCCTACGCCCAGAGGCACCACTTCCCATTTTAACTCTTTTTGAAATGTGCAGTTTGACAGACATTTTGCAAGCTGGGACAGAGTGCAGAGAGACTACATTATTATGCTCTCTCCCACTTGTGCTTCATCACAGAGTCTCAGCTGTGAAGGCCAGGTTCACTGATGGGATTAGGGACTGAGAATATATATAAGAGCTCCAATAACAAAAGGAAAGAAGCTCCGTGTTTATGTAGTTGTAGGTGTAGTGGTTTAAATTACTTTTAAATTAAAGTTGACTGTTTTTACTTGAAGAGTAGGTTGTAGGTAGCTATTGAAGACTGAAGAGTTAGATTTTACAATTTCTTTCCAGTTTTTTGTATGCTTAAGTAAGAAATAAAGTCACTCCATTACTACCTGAAACTTTAGGCTAGGAAATCTACAGTTTTGGTGGGATTTAAAGAGGCCCTATGCTTTTGGGGTTGTCCTAATATTGTGTTTTAAAGGTTTTAGTGCATGTAAATGGTGTGCAAATGCTAAAATCCCTTCTATTGGCTACAATCCAACATATTGTACGTGATAGGCTAAGGGGCGGGACATCTATAAGTGGTTGACCAATCACAACAGAGCCGGCCAGCTAACCAATCAGAGCAGACTGGGCTCTGGTTTCAGACAGAGGGTGAAAAGAGGTGCTGCAGCACAGGCAGTATGAGAAAAATAAAGAGCTTTTTGAACATTAAAGCATGGAGACATGTCCCAGTAGAGACACTAAACACAAATATGAACCTAACATTTAGAACAATGTGTCCTCTTTAAATTAAAGTAAAAAGTGTCACAACCAACCCAGTTATTCCCTTGTTGTTTTTAAAATGACATTATATTTTGTTTTCTCTAACTGCTGTAAAGAATAAACCTTTGAACCTCAAAACAGTGATAGATTGTCTGCAGTAAAGCATCTGCCCAGGATCATGGTTCAGAGCTTTCAGGTGTAGTGTTTTCATGTTATCCTCACCTGGTTTAGTGAAGGATCCTCAGAAACAGGATTAGCACACATTGTGCTGACCTGGCTCTTATGTCAGTGTCACACTAACCTACAGTAGTAGTCTTCGAGGGAACAGGAAAGTAGCGCCTTAAATCTCACCCTGCCTTCGCAACACCCACTCTCACATTCACCCAGAGAGAGAGAGGGAGGGATGTACACAGGCAGCATGTCACCCGCTGCATATGGCACATTTATTTAAGGAAAGAGTAAGAACAAAAACACAATGTGCTCACTCTCCACACGCCTCCAAGTGACCACCCACCACATCCGCAGCAGCTAAGAGGTGCACCATACAGTGGACCTGCAGGCTTTAAACACAGATATTTATATATTTAGAGGTATTTTTAAGGTCTTGCAGCTCCACGATTTAAGCGCTACACCTCCAAATGGAGCTCATATCCTGTAAGACAAGCTGTTTGCCTTTGGCCTTAGACCTGTGGGATGAACAGCAAAGATAGCACTGTATGGTCCGGTGCCACTGCATGCATGTTTGTCTTTTCTTTCTATTACTGCCTCTGCAGCAGGCTCATAATCTCTGCATCACTGCTGCAGGGATTTGACGGGGATTATAGTTTTCATACCAGCTGCTGGAATCTGTGTGTGTGGGGCCACAGAGTTTATATGCAGGATTCCTAATTTGGGGACAGAGGTGATAATGACAAAGGTTATATGTTCCTGACCTCTGACCTTTGGGCTTCAACAGCCGTTCCTTGCATGCATATTTGCGTGCAAACAGTCAAGTCCTCATATCCTATTTTCTCTCAATGCTTTATCACAGTTCATTTAGGATGGCTTGTTATTTTAAAACAGTAGAAGTAAAGGGTATTTTATTATAATTGAAGAACACTTGTTTGAACATAGATGAGCGGGAAAAGGGCCAGGTGCCCAACATGTCAGGAGCCACCACGGTTTTAGCTACGAAGAGACATGTACTTGCCAGGAGGAGACTCATAAATTCCAAAAAGAAACAAAAAATGACAACAAAGAACCACGAAACTACAACAAAGTGTCACACAATTACCAAAAACAGTCACAAAATGTCCACAAAGTCCCATAATGAGCACAAATCGACACAAAACAACTACGAATAGAATCACAAAGGCCACAAATCCACACAAAATGGCTACAAAGTGACTTAAAATCACTACAAATTGACACTACTGTATGTACCACAAAGAGACATTATGTGAACCAAAAAAGACACAAAATGACTACAAAGAGACACAATAGACCCAAAATAACTTTGCAGAGACATACAGATTACACAAAATGATCACAAAGCAACAACAAAAACAGGCTTAACATCTCTCAAGTCAGCGTCTTGTTTCTTGGAGAGGAGGTGGGGTCTGCTGCACGTCTGTGTCCAGAGGCACATTGTCTCAAATGACGCCCATGCTCATCAATGGTGGAGCTTCAAATGCTGTGAAACTGGAGAAAAGTTCACGATGTTGATAAAAACAACGACAAGTCAGACACTGGCACTCATTGTTTTACTCTGCAAATATCATGGTAATGAAAGTATAAGTGTACAAAGTTGAATGTTTGATATTTTTGTTGCTGCAGAAAAGAAAGTTGATGGAAGTGGTTCATCTTCTGCGGAGCTACTTATACAGATTTGCCACTAAGAAAAGTATCTGAATATTTTGGGACATCCTTCAAATATTTTTAAACCTGGTTTACATTTTAAATTGAATAGGCCATGACTCAGGATTTCCACACAAGGATGTTGACCACAATGCTAAAAGAAATACAATATACTAAACATGTATTCAGTGAATGAACATTTAAACATGTTTTAAAGAGGGATGTACACACTCAGCATTAAAACGTTTTTAGAAAATCCCCAAATAAATAGTGGAGTAGATTGTTTATCAGTTAATTATTTCCCTTTTGCGTCAATAAATTGATAAACAGATTAACTAACCTCATCATCACCTTTTCTCCTCTTAGATTAAAATTTAAAACTAATCAGATTGTGTGCAAATTGCTGACAGAAGTTAATTATATGTTGTGTCTAAAGACACTGAACAAACAAGCAAAGTGTAAACATTTAAACACGGCCAGTCATGCTTCATGATTGTAATGCCTCTCTACTTTCCATGATTCATTCATTTCTATCGTGTCCTTGAAATACATTCTCTCATTAATAATCCTTTGTAATCCTCAGCCATTTGCGTCATTCATACTGTTGCATTACTATGCAGTTTTAAATTACTTTAATTTAATACAAGTATGTCAATTTTAATGAAATGTGTCCTCACAGTGTTATAATCTATCATTAGGGTCAAGGGAAAGTCTGCGTGAGACTGACGTTGCCACAGGGTCGATCTTTAGTACATTTCCACTGCAGCTGGCCCTTTAACAAACACATCTTGGCATTGATGGCTGAAAAAAATGTGAATGAAATCCAGCCATTCATAAAAATAGGCTCTTGCTGCGCTGTGATTGGCCAAACCGAAGATTATGCATAATTCATGACCTCCAGAGACGCCATTGGCTACTTCACTTGACGGACAGGGCGGCTCAACCAATCAGCGGCCGTCTCTGCGTGCCGCTCGGAGCCCAAGGGAAAAACCGACCGGGCCATTAACGAAAAGCTCAGTCAAGTTTTGTGAGTCGAAGGAGGCACATCACTGTAACATTGCGCAGACAAATACTCGACTACAGACACTTTGTTTTTATATTTGTGGATATTAATACCGCATTTTCTCTCTAAAGAGGACGTCTATACACACAAACAAGGTAAGCTGCATTATTTATTCATGCGAAAACTTGCTCTCTTTTTTTTAAGCCGTGTTACGGGGTCGTTATTTTTCTTACACCATCTTATTTAAAGATATTTACTTTGACAACCATCTTATATCGGCTCGTATTAGTGTAACATACATGTTGTGTGTTGTATTTAAGCCGAACAGCGTGTGTTTAATCTGATTAGTTTATCTGCGTGGGTTTGGTTTATCAGCGCGAGCGCGACTGTTTGTGTTTTTCCTATTTTTTTTTTTATGAATGGACGGGCCGTTTTTTCTCTCCTCTGTTTCCACACGGGTCGAGTTTCACTTCATTGAGAAAAACAAGGGAGGGATGTGTGGGGGAAGGGCCGGGAGGAGGAGGAGGAGTAAGGGGGGGGGGAGAAATATCCCCCCCCCCCCTTACTCCCCAGCTTCAAAGCAAAACTTGCGAAAATGTGCACATTTTTACACATTCACCGTAGTGATAAAAGTTGGTTGGAAATACGCAGTAAACAAGTTAACTTTTTCGTTCATTAGGCAATGCCTTTGAAGCCGTAGTGAAAAAAATACAGACCAACCTCGTGAAAACTTTGGTGCGTTTTAGGACCCCTTCATGATTTAATCTTCCTTATTATAATCTACTGCTTCATTTACCCTCAGGTCATCACTGTTATTTCGAATAAAGTTACTTTTTTGGCCCTCATTTTGCAGTACAATTCTTGCAATGTGTGAATTCCATTAAAAAGTACCACTTCCTACTTTTAATTGTACACTTCAACCTTATTATAATCTACTCTGCTTTCATTTACCGTCAGTAGCTAATCACTGTTGTTTTTCCAAAAATAAGCACTACCTACTTTTCATTGACGTACTACAGTACCGTCTTTGATTGTTTGATCCACTTTGAGAAAAGTACAGTGAGTCCTGATGTTGTAAGTGTAATATGTGCTAGGCGTCAGTAATTATTGCCCTGCAGCTATCCTGTATTCGTCATCCATTAACAGGAGATATAGAGTGAGTCATATCAGCCTGCGGAGGGAGAATAGAGGGCAGATTTAGTGGCTTAGTTTTTCTGTTATTGTTGTTTCAAAGGGATTTTCTTATTACTAGTGTTTCTGACTACATCGAGGGTGCACAGAGTTCAACTTCTCCAAGTTGTAGCATCAATATTACCTCACAACTGTAGATGTAAGCCTCTATAAACTCTTTTACTGGTCTTTTTTGAAAGTGTTTGTGTTGCAGTGCATGCCACAATTAAGTGTAGATTTACTCTTAAATGGTGGAAATCACTCTTTTTAGGTCTTTTCCTCAACATTTCTAAGCTGATGATAGTGGAAAGTAGTGCCCACAGATGGCCAGTGAGTGTTATATAAGTGTATTAAATGTGCCGTGTGTTTACATTGTGCTGCTCCCTCTCTCACTCGGTATGGCCCAGTTCAAAGAGCTGTTTGTTGGTTAAATAACAAGCTGGTAGATGGTGGTGGCCTCGGCACATTATCACCACGTTTGCTGCTATATAAACACATGACAAAATACTGAAGCACGGTATGGCATTCATAATGGCAAAACATTAGGCAATAACATATTTGACATTGAAATTGTGTTCACCCTTATCTTTTGTACAAGCGGGGGAGTAAATATTTGATTCAAAAGCTTGTAAATCATTACATAGGGGTGAAAATGTTTTAGTTTTTTTTCAAATGACAAATAATGTAAACGCCTACAGTTAAATGTAAGACAAAGGGAACCTTTATTCATGCAAAACCTGCACAAAGAAATACGTTTTACTGTAAAGTTTTTCAATTCTCAGTGACTTAAAGAATAGGAGGCTCATGTTATACAACAAATACCTGTTGTTACTTAAACACAATTGGTCAGCGTAGGCTAGCTGGCTGCGTTATTCATTTCCAAAACAAACTATAATAATAACTGTACAAATTGTATTGTATGTGATTTCTCACCGGATCACACAAAGTGAATCTTACAACTTTGACTTTTCTGCAGACTATCAGTAGCAAAACACTTTAAAATCCGTAAGTTTGGAATTTACAGTTCAAATCAAACACATTTCCCCCCTGACCCGCTAAGAAACTCATTAATTGCAGAAAAAGAACCCCTTTATGACCCTGTGCTGTATGTTTTTCCAATCTTGTGTTTTCCAGTGACCCTCAAAGTGACCCGGGCGCTGTCGCTTTAAAGCGAACGCGAACACCTCCCCCTCCCCCCAAATATCGGAGCCCCCCCCCTTCCAATCAAGCAGATAACATGGACGGATTCTACGACCAGCAAGTCCCATTTATGGTCCCACCCAGCGTAAGTGGACACATGCCAGCTTCTCTCCTGCTGGTCACTATAGATCACTGTACATTTCAAACACACTTTTATTACATTTCCCTTTTTTCTCCTTCTTCATGTTTTAACATTTCTATCTTTTCTCTCCCAGCAGCACAAGTCTCACGTGGAGGAGCTTTCTCACATCAGGCCTGTGAGCGACAGGAAGAGGAAGTTTGTGGACACAGAGCTCGCCCAGGACACAGAAGGTAAACGTCAGGATGTTAATAAACAGTTCATAATTTAGCTGCAAAGATTCATCAAATGATTGTAAATTACAAAATTAATTACCAGCTTTTTTTAATAGAAAACTCAACGTTTTCTAATTCCAACTTCTTAAATGTGAATTATTTCTGGGTTTTTTACTCCTCAGTGACATTAAGCTAAATATATTTTAAGTTGTGTACAAGACATTTTAGGAAATGTTCTTGGGTTACCTTTTGGGGAAACACTGATTCAAATTTTCTGACATTTCTTCGACCAAAACAAACCAATAATCCACAGATTAACGACAATGTAATTAATCAGGATTGACATCTTTAAAACCTTTATTTCATATATTTTACTTACTTTTTTCAGATCTCTTCCAAGACCTAAGTCAGCTTCAAGAAATCTGGATCGCAGAAGGTAAGTTATTTTATACATAAAGTTATATTTTCTTTTTTTGGGATAAAGGTCCTGTATTATCTCTAATGTTTGACATGCATCTCTTAGTCTTATTTGTGTTCTAAATAGTGAACAAGATTAAGTATTTTCATTAAAGATTAACTTGATAAGAATGTGAACTATTGTTTTTTTGTGTGTTAGCAATTGCTGCACGAAGAGCAAAGTCCTCTGCATGAGAAACTGCTGACAACGACCCTGTTTGTTTTTCTAAAAGTAACTTTCTCTCCATGTCCACTTAGATTACATTCCTGCTCTCTGGCATAGTGTCTTGGATGTTGGCTGTGAGTTTGCTCGATTGTTCTCACATGTGAAACCCTCTCTTATGTCTTCACAGCCCAGGTGCCCGATGACGAACAGTTTGTCCCAGACTTCCAGTCGGATAGCTGTGAGTACCTGATTTACATTGTTCTGATTTCCCGGGTCAATCCGTGGCCATGATTTTGGTGTTTTAGCTCAGCCTGGTTCTTGGCAGAGGGATTCAAACTGCAGTGGCTATTCTGGCATTTCTCACCACCTTCTGGTATGATGAAGTGCTTTTCTCAAAGTACTGTTTCTGATTGTATGCTCAGGTCACCTCTCTTTCATCGAAATGTCTTCATCAACTCTTCCAAACACAGCTCTGGGAAAGGCTGCTCTCCTCCTCCCCCTCCATTTTGAGTTTAATCAGCCGATTGGCATGGGGCATCACATGAGCCAAGCTCCTAATCTGATTTCACACTTTCCCGCACTCTGGCCCTGCTGCTGAGGCGGCTCGATTCCAGCGGATAGCTTCAGATCTGTCTCGCTTTACACAACCCATCCCCGAAAAATCTTAACCCGTTCTTAATCCATACAGCCTCCTCTGCACATTTCCTTTAGGCTGCAGCTGAGGGATATGTTTGAATGATGCCCAATGAAGCTTTTTACGACCTCCTCCACTCCCCTCTGTCCTTCTAAATTTATGTTTTCGTCTGATGCGTAGGAGGTGCAGACGGGGTGTGGCAGCTACTCTATAAAATCTTTGCAAATGTGGTAAAGCGAGCTACGAACTGACCTTGAGTGCTGCAACATGTTATTGAGGTCGATGCATAGACATGTATGCATTTTTATGGAGTGCCCAATCTAAGTTTGTTGGTGTATAGTCTGCTTAATGGAAGGTGTGGGTCCATGACCTTGGATTGTTAGTTTCCGGTGTGTGTGTGTGTGTGTTGTACAGAGAAGAGATGTTGGCAGTGACTTCTGTTGCCGTGCTGCAGGCCGCTCCCTCTCACAAAGTCGCCTATTCACCAGAACCACAATTTTCCGATGTGAGCTTCAGTCAGTAGGACATCACATGGGGTGAAGCGGCGTTCCACTGACCCGAGCTGAACCATATTCAAGTTTGCTTCGGAGTGGAATGGCACTATCAGTTTATAGTGGATTGGTAGTTCTAATGTTTTGAAGTTAGAGGTTAAAGTCTAATGCTGCAACTAATGACTTTATTCATTTTGAGATAGAAGTATAGTTAAAAAAAATCACAAAAGGATGTCTTAAAATGTCTAGTTTTAATCAGCCCAAAACTCAAAAATATTAACTTTTATTATAGTATAAAATGCAATAAAAGTGAACCCCATGAGGACAGACAAGGGTTCAAATGAAGATCATTTGAATATTGCATTAAAAATACAAGTGACAGTATACTCTAAAATAACAAAATGTGTACATAAATAGTTATGATCAGATAAATATATCTACATTTAAAAATTGCAAAAATTACTTTAAAGGGTTGATCAAGTGTCAACATATTGGTGATTAACTATTTGTCAACGGAGTGATGCAGATCTAGTACAGGCCCGTTTGTGTAGAGTAAGAAAAGAAGCCTGATGTCTTCATTACTTACTTTTCTGCTGCTGCTCGGGTCCATCAGCACGCCGGTGATTTATTTGGCCCCGGGCTCCTCTGCGCCGAGGGATCCAGTTTCTGCCCGGCTATTATGTGGCGCCCCGGAAACTGCAGCCGATACGCAGAGAGCAGCAGCAGCTAGTGTCTAATGGTTACAGCGCGGGAGAAGAAAATCATTGGCCGCCATTAGATTACAGCCACACTGATTCATGGGTATTGGTATTGGCGGGTCCTAATGGGAATCAGACGAGGACTTTGATAGCTTTTGTGTGTGTAGTGCAGTCAGTATTGTGCTACCTAGCAGCGCTGGATGGATGGCGTGTGTTCAGAGTCCACTGTCATTAGAGCGCATGATAAATTGCTGCTAAGTGTCTCTTGTCAGTCGAGGGAATACACAGGCGTCGTCCATTTATCCATCAATTCCAAATGTGGTTAAGAGAACTGCTGCACTTCTGTTCATGGCTTCAATTAGGTGATATCTGGAGTTGATCTAATGCACTCTCTTTGTATGTCTCCAGTGATGTTTCATGGTCAGCCACCGGCCAAGATCAAACGCGAGCTGAATCCCGCCAAAGAGTTTTCTCCTTGTCGCCAGGATAGGAGTCCCATGCCCTACGGAGAGAAGTGCCTTTACAGCTACAGGTATGTCCTGGGTCATCACAGAGAGAAAGCTACTTTAGCCCCACGGTCAAACCAGAAGTCACACGCCTGGGTATTATCCTTTCCTCAGACTATCATGTTTTAACTACTTTTAGTATTGATTTTAACGTTATGTTTGCTTGTTCACAAGGCTCTCAATGGTATACGTCTGGCCAACATTACTACATTTAGTTGTTTGTTTTATAATCCTCAAAGGCCTCTTACATCCCTGTTGCTTTTTTAAAAAAAATCATCAAACAAAAGCCTTTTTTTAACAATGCATCAAAAACATGGCATTCCTTCTACCTAAGACTAAAGAAGGTGAACACCTGTTTATTCAGTATTGCCTTTAACTTGCTCTCACTCTTATGTTTGAAAGGTGCTCTATGAATTCATGTCTTATCATTACAAAGACCATGATGGCTGCCGCTGGATATCCTCTTGATTCTGACTGTCTCTGTTTCCTCAGTGCCTGTGACAGGAAGCCCTCTCCCGGGTTCAAGCCATTAACCCCCCCCTCCACGCCGGTCTCTCCCTGCGGCCCCTCCAGCGCGCACACTCCCCCTCCTCACTCCCACGTAGCCCATCCCACACGTCCAGTGCACGTACAGCAGCCAATCACAGCGAGCGCAGGCTCCCCCAACCAGCAGGCGCTCTCTGTGCACAGCCCCCCCTTCGCCGTGCCCTGCGCCCCCATCAGCCAGGATGCCAACAACTTCTCCCCTGAGCACAGGTGAGCACTCGCAGTTTGCCTAGGGGTGGGCAAATGGCTGAAGAAGGCTTTACTTGAGTAAAAGTACCAATATCAATTTTTGTCAAAATCCTTAATTACAAGTAAAAATCCTGGATCAAAATGTTGTTGTCCTTAAAGTATAAAAGTAAAAGTGATCATTGTGTCAAAACCTTTATGTGTGTGTATAATTGTATTTAATTTTACACACACATAAAGGTTTTGACATATTTTTGCATAATTGTATCTAATTTTAAGAAAGTTTAGTCAAATTCTGGATGGAAATTATTACTGCCGATTTGTATTCCATATTTTGTTCCATTCCATTTCTATGTAAAAACTGTTATATTTTACTATATTTTTTATTATTTGTAATGTTTTTCTCTATCTGTGTTTTTAATTTTTTACTTTTCTGTATGCACCACGACACCAAGTCAAATTCCTCGTACGTGTGAACCTACCTGGTGATCAACCTGATTCTGATCCGGAGAGGGTGTTTCTGTTCATTTCGTGTCTTTGCGCGCATTATTCCTGAACAGAGACCTCATCTCTCTTTCCCCTCCATCTCCTCCATCTCCAGGTTCCAGCGGCAGATGTCAGAGCCATGCCTCCCTTTCCCCCCCTCAGAGAGCCAGGCGCGCCCCCACTTCCTGCCCCAGCCTCCCAGCAGCCACCACAGCCTGCCCCGCGACGGCCGGCCGCCGTACCACCGCCAGATGTCCGAGCCGCTGGTAGCCGTGCCGCCCCAGGGCTTCAAGCAAGAGCTCATCGACCCGCGCTACGCAGAGCAGGGCGTCCCCTCCATGGGGCCCCCAGGTGCTCCACAGGGGCCCCCGCGCCAAGCTTTCCACCCCATGGCCATCAAGCAGGAGCCACGAGACTTCTGCTTCGATTCTGGTGAGTAGAGATGGGTAGTTGTGGTGATAAAATAAGTAGAGAAGGGTCCATTACCTCGTCGAGATGTCACCGAGGAGAATGCACAATTGAGAATAAATAACGTAATGTCAATACTTGCATTTATTTGCAAGTTATTTTCTTTTTTTTAGGATTTGTTGTCCGGGACTATTTAGCACCACAATACTATTTTCAGAATCATATATTACATATTTATCCTGTAACAAATATTGCACCTCCTGCAATTTGAATACTGCACAACCCCATTTTGTGATTTTGATTACAATTAGTTTCGCAGCCCTACTCCTGCAGATTTGTTTCTCTGCATAGAAAGCATTGAAGTGTATCGCTGGCTGTGTGAAAGCCATTGTACAGGGCTGTGAAAGTGGAGCGGGCAGAGGGTGAGGAATGTGCCTCTCTGTGTTTGTTCTGGGCGCCAACACTCGCCTGTGAGTTTTAGCACGGCCACTAAGGTGCTCATTTCACACACACACACACACACACACACACACACACACACACACACACACACACACACACACACACACACACACACACACATACTCTCCTTTAAAGCCTGAATGGTTCCTCCAGAGGCATGCCAGCAAAGTAAAAGTGGGACTTTTATCTCAGCCTAAGCCTCAAAGGGCAAAAAGGAAATGGGTCACGCAGCCAGGTGCGGGGAACGTCTTCACTGAGCCTACCTGGAATAGATCTGGGTCGCAGCCCTCAGAGGACTGAGTGACCTGCGGCACAGCGAGATGATTGTAAGAGCCTGCAGATTTCTGCTTTATACAGAATGCATAAAGGGGCCAAACGGTGCCTGTCCTCTGCACAAAGCCTCGGCAAACAGAGGCTGTTTACTCGGTTTAAATCAAACAAGCCGGAGCCACTGTCGCTGCATTGTTTGATCCGAACGCCCACACACCCAGCTGTTGTCCCTACATCCTCTTTTCCTGAAACTCAAACAACTTTTTTTTTTAATCTTTTCTCACTCACTCCAGTATTTTCTATCAGTCCCTTTCTGCCTGTTGTCCGACCGGCTGGCCGCTCAGTGACGTAATCACCACAAATCCTCTTAGCATCTTATGGCCTTTTAAATACCTACGTCACACAGGCCTCGTATCTGTAGATGGGTGAGTGAAGGGCATGCCAACATGGATCATCATGTCAGCAGGGCCGTGTAACCGCGATACTCATCACGATACAACTTCATATTAGTGTTGCTGTAAACAAGGCCTTATTTACTGGATTCATCTTATTTAATGAAAAGTTTCATAACAGAGGACACACCGCCATAATGCAGCAATTGTTAATCAAAACGTATTTTAATTTGTAATCATTCAAATCAATGGGATATGTTTTTAGTATTTCTAATAATCTACTAGTATCTGCTACAAATCTTTGCCTATAAACTGTTATATCAAATGTGGCATGGATGCACTGCAGCAATATGTTCTCACACTGCTCATTTTAACCAGAGCTTCTTTTTATTAGGGCTGGTTTTTGTTGTTATGTTACTTCAAGATTTGAAGTGGTGCTTTGTGGAGCTTTACAGATCTGTATCTTCTAATTGACAATAGCAAACAGTTAGACGCCAAGTGACTATAAATGTCTTTATCTGCCATTATTGTTGGTGCTCTAGAAAACGGATTCATGTCGGAGATAATTAGCCATCATCTAAATGCATTGAACAGAGGAAGTCTTTCTTTGCTCTTTCTCCTCACGCATGGGTTAGACTTGGCTCCACCAGTGACTTCCTGCAGACTCTTCTCTTAAGTGAGGACAAGCGGAGACAGAGACTTAAGGAAACACTTGCTCAAGATTGATGTGTGGTTGCCTTATCAGCAGACAGGAAACAGCATAATAGATGGTGTGTGTAGGGGGGGGGGGGGGGTGATGCTCACTGCAGACACACTGCAAACGGAAGACAGGCCTTGACCCCCCCGGGGGGCGGACTGGTGTAACTCGATTGTCATTGAGATTGAATACAGCAACCATGGTGCTAATCTTATTTAAAGGCTTGGTGGACATGCGGGGGATGTTGTGTGCAGTGTATTCGGATTCAAGATTTAGTGTGTGCGCATTTTCTGTCCAGCTGTTGGAGCTGCAGTCTAAATCGGCCATTGATTGGTCAAAAAAAGCAGCCTTCTCTCAGAAGAGTCTGGTGGCTATAAGGAGAGCTCATCCATTGCATGTTTGTAAATTAAAGGAATGATCCAAATCCCTGTTGAGATTGTTGTAACCTTAACTCCATACACATAGCATCCACCATGTGTTTATTGTGACTTGAAACACTCCTATAGTGTGGACTGACTTGTCTATAAACGGCAGACAATTATCAAAGCTGTGTTTCTTTGTACTCGGTGGCACTGATCCAGAAATATCTGTCAGCTGCGCGGCGGATTTGATGCATTAAACATCTGATATGACAGTGAGGAAGTCTCTGGTCTAAATGCATCTTCTTTCTTTGTTTACAGAAGTGCCTAACTGTCAGTCATCGTTTGGGAGAGCGGGGAGCTTCTACCAAAATAACCATGAAAGTAAGTTATGTCTCAGAATGATTTAATTAGCCAAGTCCTTCTGGTTGGGACCCCCTGACTCATGGAGCTGGTTAAAGCGCAGTATTGGGCGAGAGGATATCGGGTCAGCAGCGATGAAATGACAGCTCGAAGGGGAAGTGAAAGTATCAATGAATCTGTCGCTGCTCCACACACACTGTGCATCTCTCACATCAGCAGTTGGCACAAGCTCAGCTCAATATAAGCTTCCAGTCTTGGGAAGCTGCCCAGATATATTGCTTTGCATGCAGTTTGGGTCTCTGGGTCTGGGTCTCTGTTTCCCACGCTCTCTCTGCTCGTCATCCCATTAATGTCGCATTTCTTTCTTTCTTCCATTGCAGGTTTCTCCTTTGACAGAGAGACTCAGCTGTACTTTGACGACACCTGTGTGGTCCCTGAGAGACTAGAAGGTAAGACTGGAAATACAAATAGAAATGAATGTACAAAGCGCAGATCCACCAAAGCCAATGTGGCATTTACTGGCCCCTAATAGGACCCTACCTCACACATTTGGAAGTTAGTCTTCTGACCTCTGTGTGTTTATGAGCTTCAATTGGTAACACACACACAACGTGAAAACAGAGGTGTTGCATTTTAAATAATCAGAAAGTTTAATAACCACTTTAATAGCCATGTCAGAATAGTTCTCGTTTTGGATTTCAGGGGGAGTTCATGTGAATTCTCCCAGTCTCTAACATGGATGTGTAATAAGAACTGGATACAGCGTGGGAGGCGGGGTCTCGTTCTTTCCTATGAGAGCTGCTCATTGGCGCATGAAGACAAAATGGCCCAACTTTTGAGAGAGCGAAAATGTCACAGATTACCCATCATGCCTGGCTGTCAGAGCAGAAGAACCCGTATGTGCGCTCACAGAGCATGCATCCCTTAAGCCCCGCCCCCCGAGCTCCCACTCTCGGCTCAGTAGAATGAATGGAGACAGAAAATAAATCTAGATCCGCTGATTTACAGACGTTTCTTTCCCGATGTTAGTCAATGGGGAAAAGTCTTTCTGGGCCCAGTGACATCACGGACTGATACGGAAGTTGTAGTACCGCCGTTTGGACACAACGAATATTTTCATCAGAGTCCGGCGCACTTCCTGGGGGCTTGGTCTCTAACTCATATTTCTGATTATTCTAACCCTACTTGAATGAAGGACAAATGCCTATCTTTCAATGTTAATAAAAGAGATTTTTTTTTGTGTGTATCGGCCAATTGATTCAGATCTGCTGCAAAATGTAACTAGTTCTTTCTAGGTCTGTGCTACACCCTTCCACCAAGTATAAACAAATCTGATAAATCTATTAGATTTTCTGTAATCCTGCAGATAGACAAACCGAGGCAAAAACCTCTCAAAAAAACGTATCTAGATAAAATATCGTAAAAAAATATCTAGCCCAAAAGTACTAGATATTGTTGAACATGTTCTGAGTCCAGTCCTTTGGCTTTGCTCTCGGTGCATAATGAACAGCGAGTCCACTTCACAGTGTCCATCTGGCAGGAATGTCTCACCACACAGAGTACAGTCCTCACTGACACTTTTCCTTCTCCTTCTGCCTCCTTTTTCCATCTCTCTCTCTCTCTCTCTCTCTCTCTCTCCTCTCCTCTCCTCTCCTGCTCCTCTTCCTCTTCCTCTCACAGGTAAAGTAAAGCAGGAGCCCTCTGTGTTTCGTGACGGACCCCCCTATCAGCGCCGCGGCTCCCTGCAGCTCTGGCAGTTTCTGGTCACGTTACTGGACGACCCGGCTAACGGACAATTCATCGCCTGGACCGGCCGCGGCATGGAGTTCAAACTGATCGAGCCCGAGGAGGTGAGTCCTTCACAACAACTCATGTCTTCTGTCCAGATCTCCTACTACCAGACGTTTACTACCTTTTGATTCTATTATATTCTATTTGATTTGATTTACTTGCACTGCTATTATCTGTTTTATGGTGTTGCACTGTTGGAGGAGCCTGTGACCTAAGAATGTCCTTGTCAGAACTACTCTGTAGCTATGTTCACATGACAATGAAAGCCTTGAATCTTGAATTTGCTGCAGCTCCTAACTCACTCTTTGTGTGTCCTCAGGTGGCTCGTCGCTGGGGCATCCAGAAGAACCGGCCGGCCATGAACTACGACAAGCTGAGCCGCTCGCTGCGCTACTACTACGAGAAGGGCATCATGCAGAAGGTAAAGGCACGTTCACCCCTTTTCCTTTCTCTCCCCACACCCCCACCCCTCTGCAACTATGTCCTATTATCTCCCATAGAGTCTGAATGATTAACTCTAGCCCGCTTCTTCTACTAAATATATAATCCTGTGTATTATTATATTTATGGGAAGTATTTTCTGCCTCAGATCAGAATAGGGAAGATTTGATCATAATGAAAGTATGACTTAAACAACACATACCGTGTCAAAGACAACACAATTACAGGTGTGCAGGTTGTCTATTTGTTTGTATTCCCCCCGCCCCCCCACGGAATAAAACAAGATTAATAGTACAAAAACATTTAAAATGATAGACAAACAAATGGTTGAAATCACAGCACAAAAGAAAAGAAAACGACAACAACAACAACAACAACAAAAATACATAAAAAGGTTGAGATAAATGGTTGACTATTGTAAATCTGTGTTCTAATTCAGTTAAAAATGATGGATCAGTTAGGGAAGAGTACACAGTTTCAAACGTTCCATGTACGTACAAAATGGTTGCCATGTCCTATAAAATGTACAAGTGGAGCCACCCAAAGTACACTTTATTTTCTCATGTGTAGAAACTTCATAAGTTCTGTCACCCACTGGACATGAGTGGGAGACGCCTCCTGCTTCCACCTCATACGTATAAGTCGCCTAGCAATTAGGGAAGCAAAAGCTAATATGCTTAAACATTCAATTAAATATATGTGTTTTGATGTCCCTCAGGTGGCCGGTGAGAGGTACGTGTACAAGTTTGTGTGCGACCCCGAGGCTCTCTTCTCCATGGCGTTCCCCGACAACCAGAGGCCCAACCTCAAGGTGGACCCAGACAGCCTGCCGGGCCCCGAGGAGGACACGGTGCCCCTCACTCACTACGAGGAGAACGCCCCCTACCTGCTGGACGCCAGCGAGCAGTGTGTGGCAGGTCTGCCCTTCCCCGACGGCTACGGCTACTAAAAGCAAAACACACATGGACACGCAAACACTCCCAAAGTCGCCCGAAAAAAATCCAGAGCTGGAACTTGCTGAGTCGCTTGGAGGGCAAATTCCTCTCCTGCTCCCTGGAAAAAAACCTTCATAAAACTCTGATGAAGCTCCCAAGCTAAGAATGAATGAGGGGGAAAGAAAAAAAGCCTGCGACAGCTCCTCTCCTGCGAGTGAAAGAGAGAGGTTGTGTAACCAGTGAAGAGGAACTGGACTGCAAGAGGCCGCTTCTGCTGCAGAGACCAAATAAAAGCGAAGCCACGTGGCGCCATCTTTAAAAGAACTGACCAGGGGGGGGGGGGAAAACCCACTTTGTACAAGAGTCGTTCTGATTTTGTGACAATCTGCTTTTCTTAAAAACAATCAAGTAACCAATAGAGTTTTAAATACAAACTAATTCTAAATGCAGCACTATTCTATAGTTGCCTTTTTTTGGGTCGCCCCCATTCTTATGTCGCCACATCCGTGAAAGGGCTTTAATTTGCATAGCACGGATTCAAGATGGAAAACATATATTCTAAACTCACAGATCACTTAGTTTTCTGTAGATACATTTTAGTTTGCATCCGCCAGCTGTTCTTTAGAGACCCAGGCCTCTCAGGTTTCTGGGGCGTTGCTGTATTTCAGGCTCGTTGGTTGGGCTGCTCTCTCTCGTGTACATGTTACGTTCTTTAACCGCTTCTGCCCGTGTAAGAGATTGTATCCGCTTCCCTTTAGAAACTGCAGTCTATACAGTACACTCCTCATGTCTGCTCATCACTGCTGGGTCCCTTTTTATTATACCGCTCCAAGTTTTAGAGATGATTAGCACTCCATCTCCTCCATTTCAAAAGGGATGCAAGTATTTCCCCTGATAAATGTATGATAAAATGGTCACGTTGCTCCTATTTCTTTTTTATTTTGTATCTCTGTCTGGGTGCTTCATGTTTTCCTCGGCAGTGTACTAGTTACTCTGATGCACCAGTATGGCAGGCTGCATCGGGATGTTGCATGCAAAGTAAAAACGAAATAAAGAAGGGTGACTTTCTCCTTCTTTCGGACACCTCTGCCAGTCACAAGTGGTCAACAGGAGGCTTCTCTTTGCATGGTGTAAGACTGTGTCCACTAACATATCGCTTTACTGTCTCTGGACAAAGAAGATATTTGTGATATTCTCTGCATTTGTTGTCTGTGTGTTCATTATGTATGTTTCTTAATATGGGGGGGAGGGCGAAGACAAACGTATATAAAGTATATATTTTTGCTATAAGGCTGCATTTGTTTTGATTTTAATGTAAAAGCTGTATAGTTCTGGCTCTAATAGACAATGTAGCTTTTTAAATCTTGATCCTTTACAAAGCTACTACTGCAGACTGTTTCTTTAAGAGGCCTCAAGGTTGGAGAATGGAGGAGACGATGTTATTCTCTTGCCTGTAAAAGTGTGTGTGTGTGTGTGTGTGTGAACGCCGGAGTTCCATCAAAGGTGAACACACACATTATATCATGGGCTCCACTCCAGGCACAGGGATTGTCTGCACTTGTATAGGCTTCAGTCCCCTCCCCTCACAATGTGTTTCTTACACTGCTGAGTTTATGATAATCTGTACTGGGTACAATAAACGGTCCTTTATGCTTCATTGCCTGCAGTCCTGGTGTGTTTCATCATATTCCCCCTCCTCCTCCTCCTTGCTCTGGGTCAGTCAGCTGACTTCGGGCTGCTGTGGTCTGGCAGTCTCTGCTTGACCTGGCTCATTTCTACATCACATGCTTCTCTAAGTTTCTGGGTAAATGATTACTCTGTTTTGACCTGAAAAACACTCCCATGTCTGTGTTTCATTTTCTTAACACAAATGCTTTAGCTCATTAAGTGAGAAATCTTACAATCAGTATTAACCTTGTCATGACAATGTTTAACTTAACTACTTACAGGCATGTCACACAGATGCCTTGCTTTAATCTAAATAATGCCTCAATTTGACAATATAGATTATTTAAAAATGCTAACACATGGGAAGTAGGAGTTTAGTTTTTTTATTTCTCAAATTGCATTGTCAATTCTAAAAATGTTTTGTAATGTTTTATTTTTAAAGCGTCATGCTGATAGCAGAAAATGGCGCCTAACATTGCTCCAAAATGTTACAAATCTTAATGCAGGGTAGCATTTAAAAAGTCCTAAACCTAATTTGGGATTCTCAGTATTTATTATTGCAGTAAAAATTATTTGTCAAGAGAAAAAAAATATCACAAAAATCTGATTTTTGCCAATCCACAAAATCAACATTAGCTACATTTGTGTAGAATGTGTAGAAAACAAATAAACTAAATAGATGTACCGTAGTCATAATGCCACCTCAACATAACATGGTTGTTCTATCAAAGTATATATAACTACACAATACTACAAACAGTTAAACATTAGCAAAACGAATGTTTGAAAATAAAGCCACGCTGTGTCCAGGGCTTTGTTCCAGTCGACACACAGCAGAGTGTCCGAGAACAAGAGAAGATTTACTACCCATTTGAATATTTATGGATTAGTTACACATTAATGTTCTCGTGCACCAGCGTGATTCATCAGTAAATAATTCACAGTCTGCTGGTGTAAAACCTGCAGTGAGCCCCAGAAGTATGTGACACAGTAAGGGACTGTGTGTAGAATTATTCATGAGTTCAGACTTGAGTGAGAGCACAGAGTAAGTCATAAATATTAATATATTAAATACACACGCAACTTTACAATGACTAAGAGGTTAAAGTGCAGTCTGCAAGCCGAGATAACTCCAGCAGCTTTAACAGATATTCCATTAAGAAAATATAAAAGGCGGTTTGACATTTTGAGACACATTGCAATATTTTCCATAATATTGTTCCAATACATTTTTTTTGGGCTGAAGCATATGTTGATATTTAACACAAGAAACTTTGAGAAATAGTTTAGTTAACTACTTGAAAATAGTGGTTCTAACTACTGTGTAAAGTATGTGTAGGCTACCTATTACTGCACTGCATTTCTTTGACACGTTTTAAATAAAAAAACATAATATTAGTTACAAAAGATTGGCTCCAGTTTGACGAACCACAACAATAAAATGCATGCATTAATGATGAAAAACATATGTAGTTAAACAACTAGAAAAGCAGCAATGAATAATTCAAGTAACATTTTTAGTTCCAGGTTTTTATTTGTGTATTTACTTCAGTATTTCTACTATGTACTTTCATGCATAGAATTAAAGAAGAGTTTATTTAAATATTGATGTTCAAACTCACTCAGATTGAATACTTATTTCCAATACTTCAAGTCTTTTTTGCTTGTTTACCTTAAACTGCTTGTTCTTGTTTTTTATTGAATTAACCTTCATATTCCGTTTATAAGTAGACTACTTTCACATACTGTTTATTTCATATTGTGTTCATTATTTTCATGTTATATTGGTGTTGTTTGGGATGAAGCGTATGTCCTTGTTCCTATGTTGATTGTTTCCTGTTTTTTAATTTCCATGGGCTTTAATGTTTACCATGTGCTGTACCTGAGGACCTCCTCTCCATCTCAAAAGACACTCAAACATGTTTTCATAATCTGGAGTAGTGGTTATGTCATTGTTTTCTAATTGTTTTTTCCCAGGAGCTTTTATCCATGCTTATGTGCTTATGTTTCATGGTTCTGTATTTATGTGCATTTAATTGAGCCTTTGTCTGTGCTTATGTAAATCTGACCTATTTCCATAATAGACTCAAGTGCTCATGTTAATATGCAATGTCCTTTCTTAAACATATACACTTTTGCCTCCCATTATATTCTGTAATAAATAGCCTACACGTTTTGTAGACATATAATACATTTTGTTTGAATCTTAATCTGAAAACCTGAAACTAAAGTTAGCAAATACACACAGTGTAGTCAGTGAGAGAAATATGCAATAAGCCCTGGTAAACATGGTGCAAGCCTGCAGGAGAAGTATAAAGTCAATCATTGTGAACACTAGCTGCTGACTTACGAGCTGTATGAATGTTTCACAACTATCTTGTGATGTTTGTTTCGTTTTGACAACTCATTGAAGATTTCCCAACGTTTGAAAAGCTTCCCTCAGGCGTTTGGCGTTATTTTTATAACGTTGTCTGCCTTGTAGTATCTCTTTGTTGTTAAATGTGTCTCAAGCTGAAATGCGAATAGCATGATGGAGTATGTGAAGCTTTAGACTCAGGCTTTGTTTTGATGGCCAGCAGCACTCTGCTGGTGTTGAGTCAGAGCCTCATCAAACCACAGAGTGTAAAAGTCTCCAGTAACAGCCTGGCAGGCAACTCTCCATTGATCGAGGAGCAGAGTGCCTTTGAATGCTTTGCTTTTAGCGTACTCATGGGAGGTGCCCTGCCCTGATAGTGTGTGTTTTTGTGAGCTGCAACCTCATAACAGATGTTTTTTATTGTTTGTTTTTTAATCTACTGTGACGAGCATATGTCATTTTCTACCACCATGAGCTGTTTGGTGGTGTAGTGATGTAGCAGATATTGTGAATTTGTTGCCCTTCGCTTCTACAATGTTTAGGAAGTTTTTACTAAAGCCAAATTGTCCAAACGTCAAAACAACTGCACGCATTTAGTAAAGCTAATAAAATAAAGCAGTTTCGTTAGAAATCAGTGTTATTTTTGGTTGACCCATGACGTAGCGGCTGCTAGCTACAAGCTAAAGTGTGCTCAGCAATTTTTTTTTTTAAACTTAAAGTGGACCTATCATGCTATATTTGAATAATATAGTGTAGGACCATACCTATATAAGGCATATTTATACTTTTTTTTTTCTTTCAAAATACCAAACAGATCATGCATTTTAGCCATGCCTCATTTTGCTCAATTTGAAAATGTTTAGCTCTGTTTTTGCAAGGGCTGATTCTTTGAGAACAGCACCACCTACAGGCCTGGCATATGTACTACAGCGTCTCCAGTGCTTTCGAACGGCAATGGCCGTGGCTGTCTCCTCCTGATTGGTGGAGTTGGCCCAATAGCCGTAGCGCCACTGTCCTGACGTCAGGACAGTGTTCAAATCTGGATCAGTTTTTATCAGATCCGTTGCAGCCCCTTTTTTTTAGAGATTTGGGTATGGAGGAAAATAGAGAGGGTTGTGTTTTCTGACACTTGGTGAGTTCCCTGGAACACCGGGGACACATATTCATGTATAAAAGAAGTACAAAAGTGCATTTTGCATGATAGGTCCCCTTTAAGAGAACAGTTTTCACCAGTGGCTGAATTATCTGGTCTCCTCATCTAAAAAAAAAAACTAACATGATGATTCATACTAGTAGAAACACTGAATAAATTGTTTTTACATACAACAATCAGGGTTTCCATGGTGGACATGATGATGGTGCTACAAGCTAAATGCTAACCTTAGCTCAGCTTGTTTCTCTAATAACTTAAAGTGGACCTATCATGCTATATTTGAATAATATAGCACGATAGGTCCCCTTTAAGATACAGACGTCCAATGATGTCCAAAAATCTTCATCTGGTTTATGAATATTATGGTAAATTGTTGGAAATGTATATACAACTCAATCAAATATAAGTAATTTTAATACATTTCTATGGGCAAATGTTACAAAATATGTCCTTCAGCTCAATGTTTTCCTTGCTGATATTGTCCTAGTTTATGGAGGAGAGAAATTCAAGCATTTATGTCTAATCAACTGTCTAGGCCTACTTCTGAGAACAGCTTGTCTGTGTTTCAATTCTCCTTTTCATTTATTGAGCAGTGGTTAAGTGATAAACAACAGTAAAAATGCATATTTTTGTAGAAATTAAAGTATGAATATTCACACCTTAACTGTGAATTCTCAAGAGACGCCCACAGTCCTCTTGTCAGATTCAGATGTAACAATGCATCACTGTCACAAACACAGTTGTCGGCGCTTTTTAAAAATGCAACATTAAATTGATTACTTACTTAATTGTGGTTACCTCAATGACGGTATCACCTTATAGTGGAGAAGAAATGTCATTAGGCTTCATCCTCTTGGGAATATGAATGTGCATAATACATTTAATAGAAATCCATTCCAATAGTTGTGACAACATCTCACCTAAAACCACAAGTTATTTTAAATCAAGGCAATCAAATAGTTATTGAGATATTTCCACCTTGACCAAAGTGTTGGACCAACAGACTGACCCCTGGAGCTAAAAGTGCAACTCGTTCCTCTATCACAGTCAAGATTAGGCCATTAACCCAATGTAATGATGCTGATCCATTTAACAGGAGGCTTTTGATGTGCTCCATAATACAGAATGCTTCCTCCTCACCACTTACTGACCTGCCAAAGGCTTACCGTGAGGTATGGACTGGATATGTTGCAGGAATGATTTAGGGCCCCACATATGAAACAAACAAGGCTGCATCATAAACATTACACTAAATCAATTCATCGTATTACAGAGTGCTTGACACATGGCCCTGCCTGGGAGAAAAGTGGACGTAGTCCTTCAACATACATCATACCACATGACCACTAGCTGCTTCAGAGTGAATTATTGATCCAGATATTGGACGAGGCAGCTCAAACTTAATGTGGTTTCAGCTTTGAATCTACAGAGCATCGCAGGCACTCACACACTGACTCCATCTACTGCAGTTTGAGAGAGCCAAGCACTCAGTTCTGGCTACGATTACTGAGAAATATGGGTCATACTGCGGGGAAGGGAACAGCAGAAATCTTTCACATTATTTGGCCGATGCGCTGTGTTCGCACAATGCTAATTACCATGGTGAGACCTTGCTCCTAAAACTCTGTTACATAACTGATTTCCCACAAACACATACACACACACACACACACACACACACACACACACACACACACACACACACACACACACACACACACACACACACACACACACTGCACACCACCCACAAGTCAGTATTTATTTCAGAATTTGAAGGGAGCTCTTTTTTATTTTACATTGACCCTGGCTGCCCTCTAGTGGAAGTATCTCGCCCATTAGAACATGAGTAGTAGGATGTTTTGCATGCAGTAATAGACTTACACAGTATAATTTGAAATGCAAAATAACAATAATGTTTTAACTTTATTTATATGGCACCTTAAACAATAGAGTTTGCAAAGACAGCAAAAGCATACTCAGAAGACAAACTAACTGCAATAAGGACAAACAATATTGAGATTGCTTGTTTACTAAAAAAAAACATTATTTCCCCACCTATTATAAGTGGTACAGGTGGACATACAGCCACTGTATATGCAATCTGAATAAAGTCATAAGTATAAGTATGAAAGTGCATTGCTATTAAAGTTTGTTGCCACACTTTGTAATGGATTTAAAGGCTTTAACACTCATTTAAAATTGTAACAATGCAGCATGTGTTGTGTTCGTTGTTGCAAAGGAAAACTCCTTCTCCCTACTGCTACTCTATTCTACTGTACTGTATAGACTTGTGTAGTGATATAGGCTTTTGTGATAATGTGTTGTTGAGTATGCATTATACTTGAAGCTATGCATTCAGACTAGGGAGCTAGTTTACTGGCTTAAAAAATAGCATACAACTAATTGTCAAGCATATGTGCCCTGCAGTCTTTAAAATGACACATTGCAAAAGCTGAACAATCTGTTCCCTATTGCAGCTGCATTTTTGAGAGACTGCAGCTTTCTTTCTTACTGTTTTTCTTCTGTAAATCGTGGGTGTAGTGTGGGAGTTTAGAATTTATGCTCTTGTAATATGTGTTTTTCTCTGTCAGCTGCACATTGAATTTCCCATCTAGGACAATAAAGGTTCTGAACTAAATTGAACTGCTTAAAATAAAAGTTAGCACTTGTCAGATTGGGATGTGAATATGTCCTGGTGGCACAACAATACGGTGACTAAATATAATCCTGTGGATTTTAAACATGCTGACGTTAAACTTACATAATTGTTTGTTGCCAGTGGCAGTTTGGAGAGAACCACAACAGCAGAATCCTAGAATGGTGTGCGGGGGTGTTGACCACTAACAATCAGTGAATTAAACTTTCTCAGATCTTGTACTTAAGTAAAAGTAGAATTATCAGAGTGTAGGAATACAAGTAAAAGTCCTTCATTCAAAATGTTACTCAAGTAAAAGTTTGTGCAAATTGGCCCATTTCAAAATAATATATGTTTTGATTATAATTATTGATGCATTAATGTGTTTCTCCAAGCTGGTAAAGGTACAGCTAGTTTTAATGACTTTTTATACTGCAGGTTATGTGAAGTTTACTCCAGGTGTAACTAAAGTCTGATTTAAGAGTTGATTATATTTCACATCATTAATCCAAATCTGCAAAGTCACTAAAGGTATTAAATAAATGTAGTGGAGTAAAATTGCACAATTTACCTCTGAATTGTAGTAGTACAAAGTAGCACAACATGTAAATACTAAAGTCAAGTAGCCTACAAGTCTCCCAAAATTGTAATTTAGAACAGTACTTGAGTAAATGTACTTAGTTACTGTACACCACTTGATATATGGAATGATACATGATGCTCCATTTTGGTGAACTTTCTTTTCAGTACATGGCTCTCTGTGTGAGGCAGAGTACACAAAAGTGGGTGAAACCATAGACTGTATATAAAAAGGGTGAAACATATGCAGGATAAGTGATGCTCTTCCTTGGTTGTGCATAGTTTGTGTAGCAACTGCAGTATCATAAGGTAGGAAAATAAAGATTAGGCTATATATTTGTTTTCTTCTTCAAATGAATGTATTTTGGAATATACTTTTGGCTAAACTTTGGACTGCGTGATTGGTTGGTGATTTGGCGCAGACCATGATGGGGCAGACCCTTGAAACGCCACAACTTAAAGTTGATATCAATTAGCTTGGGTACCTGAGTGTTAGCAGAGATAGCTAGTAAGCTAACGCCACCGCCTCCAAAAAGGCAAAAGTAATACTAACTAAAGCTAATTTTGTTTACAAAGACGCTGAACATGGCTAGACAACAGGTAACATGCGTTTCACATGTATCTAGGTTAAATGGTTAATATTTTTAAAACACGTTAGCGTTTTGCTTTGATATTTGTGTAGCTTAGCTAATGTAATAACCGCATGGGTGACATGTCCTCAACACTTTTTGAAAGCATAACTTGTTATACATGTTCTGAAATGGTTGGTGTATTTCTCGGTAACCAACTTAAACTTAAAAAAATATCATTCCTCCTTACTCTACTGACTCTAAAATTACCCCAAAACATGTTGGTTGCCTTGTTTGCCTGAAGTGAATGTTGTCTTTTTGGTTGGTTTTCTTCTCAGATGGTACCAGAATGCGTAGTTTACATGTTAAATAATAATTTAAAAAAAACGTAATCTTTAATGTGTTTCTCCAAGCTGGTAAAGGTGCAGCTACTTTTAATGACTTTTTATACTGCAGGTTATGTGAAGTTTACTCCAGGTGTAACTAAAGTCTGATTTAAGAGTTGATTATATTTCACATCATTAATCCAAATCTGCAAAGTCACTAAAGGTATTAAATAAATGTAGTGGAGTAAAATTGCACAATTTAGCTCTGAATTGTAGTAGTACAAAGTAGCACAACATGTAAATACTAAAGTCAAGTAGCCAACAAGTCTCCCAAAATTGTAATTTAGAACAGTACTTGAGTAAATGTACTTAGTTACTGTACACCACTTGATATATGGAATGATACATGATGCTCCATTTTGGTGAACTTTCTTTTCAGTACATGGATCTCTGTGTGAGGCAGAGTACACAAAAGTGGGGGAAACCATAGACTGTATATAAAAAGGGTGAAACATATGCAGGATAAGTGATGCTCTTCCTTGGTTGTGCATAGTTTGTGTAGCAACTGCAGTATCATAAGGTAGGAAAATAAAGATTAGGCTATATATTTTTTTTCTTCTTCAAATGAATGTATTTTAGAATATACTTTTGGCTAAACCTTGGACTGCGTGATTGGTTGGTGATTTGGCGCAGACCATGGGGCAGACCCTTGAAACGCCACACCTTACAGTTGATATCAATTAGCTTGAGTACCTGAGTGTTAGCAGAGATAGCTAGTAAGCTAACGCCACCGCCTCCAAAAAGGCAAAAGTAATACTAACTAAAGCTAATTTTGTTTACAAAGACGCTGAACATGGCTAGACATCAACAGGTAACATTCGTTTCACATTTATCTAGGTTAAATGGTTAATATTTTTAAAAGACGTTAGCGTTTTGCTTTGAAATTTGTGTAGCTTAGCTAATGTAATAACGCATGGGTGACATGTCCTCAACACTTTTTGAAAGCATAACTTGTTATACATGTTCTGAAATGGTTGATGTATTTCTCGGTAACCAACTTAAACTTAAAAAAATATCATTCCTCCTTACTCTACTGACTCTAAAATTACCCCAAAACATGTTGGTTGCCTTGTTTGCCTGAAGTGAATGTTGTCTTTTTGGTTGGTTTTCTTCTCAGATGGTACCAGAATGCGTAGTTTACATGTTAAATAATAATTTAAAAAAAACGTAATCTTTAATAAAACTAGGAAACTAGTGTGTAAAAAAAAAAAAATGGTGGATTGTAGTGATAAAGTGACGCACGTGAATAACCGTTAACGTTGTGCTTAGTTGTCATGGAGACACATTAACGTCACGTTTTTATCGACCTAAAAGACTGCTAATTTTAATTTCATTTTTGGACTATTTCGGACACTAAAACCATATCTGTGTTTCAGATATTGGATGGCTGGCCACTGTACCAGTACATGGTGCCATATTGGAATGTGCTGATTGAAAAAACATGTCCAAGTAAGTAACGACCCCCAAACATAGGCTACTGGTCATGTAAAGTAACTAAGTAGATTTACTCAAGTGCTGTACTAAAGTATACTTTTGAGGTACTTGTACATTACTTTAGTATTTCCATTTTATGCCACTTTGTACATCTACTTCACTATAATTCATAGGTAAATAATGTACTTTTTACTCCACTACATTTATTATAACAGTCACAGTCACTTGTTTCTTTAAAACAAATTATATGCTTATATTTTACTTGAGTAACATTTTGATTGCAGGACCTCTGCATACATAGCCTACTGTCAATAAATAGCAGATCTTCATTTGGTTAACTTACAACATGACTTGTTTCTAATTTTTCACCTGTGCTACTGCAGGGTACTTTGACTGAACATCTTGTTTCTGTGTGGACTACTGGACTGTATGTTTTATAAGCTAATGTTACACACTTTTTGACCCCGGATTTATCATCTAACTGTGGTTTCTTCATCAACAGTAGTACACCAGATATTCCACCTGAACAGGTATGTGACTCTTGTATCCTCACTCAAATTTAAAAAGGCTTTATCAGTGTTGGAAATGTTATACTCTAGTATTGTACTATTTTGACATATTTGTACTTTATTTGAGTATTTTTTTATTTAATGCTACTTGAAATAAATTATCCTTATGTTCTCTTTTATATCAAACTGAATATCCCTGGGTTTGTATTAATTAAAAAAAATACTTTTTAAGAAATCATTTTTGACTTTGAGAAACTGGGATGGACATTTTTACCACTATTTACTATTTTATATCCCCAAATTAATCAATAATTAAAACATCATTTAGTTGCAGCCTACCAAATGTATGAATAAACAAGACCAGTGTTGTTCATTTTACAGGTCTATATTTGAATTGGTGGAATCTCATAAGTACCTGGAATTAACTGACCAAAGGCTGCTGCAGTGGTACCTCCGTTTGAATTGTGAAGACAGAAAGATTATACAAGGTATGCTGCTCTTTCTCAATAATTAAAGAATCGTATACCAAATGGTTTTTTGATTTTGACTGTTAAGACAAAACAAGACCCTTTTTTAAAGAGGTCATCCTGGACTCTAGGGAGTTATTATGGGCATTTCTCTTAATTTTTTGGTGTGTTATAAATCAGACAATTCGTATTTTAATAATTGATTGAATATTCATACTAGGGTTATCATCTTTTAAATGAAAACGGAAATTATATGGCAATAAAAGAGAGTAATGGCTAATATATTATTATATAAACTTAGAGTCTACCTGCCCGCCTTTGTGTAAGACATTTTGATTACATGTTGCAGCCCATTTTCATTTTCATATTTAATTGTTTTCCTCTCTCCTAGACGGAGGAGGGTTGCGCTGGTTCTTGGTGAGACATCCTGCCCTGGAGCTGTCTCTGCATCATGTTTATGTGAAGCGTAAGTCTGTGGAAATATCATATTTTAATAGCTGTGCACAGACCAAATATTGACTACTGTTTTTATTTACAATGCAGATTGTCATAGTGTCAGACCTGCACTGCCAACCATAACATCTAACAGGCCTACGCATGTCTCACTGTCAGTACAGTGAATACTAAGACATTTCATCAAATGAATGAAGGTTTTATCATTTTTACAGTGATTTATTATTAATGCTGTTTTGTTTTCAGATCTACATCAGCAATAGCAAGAACCGGTAACTTACAAACCTCATACACTACCAGCATTTCCCTTTTTATTTACTGTTTTAAAGTCATTGACATAAAAGTCATTGTTTTTTAGAAGAAAGAAAAGAAATAATTGGAAAGAAACATTTGTCCAAGGCTTGGTTCTTGAAAAGATATTTAGTCACATTAATTATAAAAACTCAACTCCCATACTATATAAGGTTTCATTTCTTTATCATAATGTTTGTTTGCTCCTGTACACATCTAGACTTGGAGATGCTTCCCAATGCGAGAGACCCTTTCCATTTTGGCAATAGCAGCAGCGGAGATGGATCACAACAACGTCAACATGAGGAAACCTTGCGCACCGAACCGCTCCTCAAGCCGCAGCAAAGCTACCAATCCGCTTTCAGCAAGTTCTACTCGCATGAAGCAACCGATCAGAGGGTACAAACTTTCTGTATGTCTTTATAAAGTTAGAACACTCGTGTAGTCAGAGGTGGGAAGTAACTAACCTAAAGTGTTTTGACAATAATGTATTGGTACTTTTACTCAAGTAAAGCATCTGAATACTCCTTCTGGGTGTAGTCATGAAAGGCAGAATGAGTTGGATTTTTCTAAAGGTAATTATACCTCTCAATCACCACTTACCACTCAGAGTGTGTAGGGGTGTGTCTGTATCTGCAGATGGCTTGTCCTCTGCTTACATTTAGTTATTTTCCTGTGTTTTTGACATTTCCTGGCATCAATCTATAAAAACGTAGCGACCAGGTGTAGGAAAAGCATGCATCCAAGAGGAAGCTAGGAAAACGGAGGACATCGTGCCAATAAATGCAAATGCATTGAGGCAAAAACAAAATTCAGCTCGTTCCAAAAAGAGATTGAATCTATAGTTGGAGTCTACCCGCAGGCGAGAACCGTAACTCTTGTTTAGTTGAGGAAGTGCAAACTTCTGAAAAATCCTGCTCACTCTGTCTTGGCTGTTTCGTAGTTGTAAATGCTAAATTCCCTTGGGCAAAAAGATTAATGCAGGCTTTTTTGAAGGAGTCATCCCGTCTATATGAACAAAGGCCGATGTCCAGCAGCAGTACCAGCAGCTTCGCCGTATGCAAAGATCCAGCAGCCCTGGCCAACTTATCTCTGGACATGGATCTGGAAAGAAGCCAACCGTGGGGAGAGCCGAAGAGCCAGATGTCGAGGCCCCAAGGCCAGAGTGCTTACGACACACATGCTGAAGTCAGTCCATCACCGTGAGTATGAATCTTGTGTCTGACACAATGTGACATTTGTTCATATCTTGCAGCTCAATCATGCCCATCTAAGCTCTTTTTATATTTTGCTTGACGTGTCTGGATTTTATAGTTATATAGCTTGAGGTTAAATTAGGGATTGGTATGACTGAAGAACATTTTTTGTATTTGTAAACCTACTTGCCAAAAAACCTGATTCTGATTGCTTCATGTTACAGATCAGAATGGCCAAATATTGAAAAAAACACTCCTGATTATTACAGTGTTGACAGCATTCAGATGGATGGCACAGAGTACAATGACAGGAGCGCCATCCACTCAGACGGACAGACCATCCCATCTCTGGTTGAGGAAAGCAGCACAAATGAAGGATGCTTTGAAGATCAAGGTCACATCTTCTATAGCATCATGGAGAACGATGAGAGCATACTCGCCTATGAAACCTGTCACGATATGAAAGCTCATAACAACGGGCTACACTCAGTTGATGGTGAAGCTCTGGCAGCCAGCAGTGACACCTGGATGACTGCAGAAAAGCACATCTCCTCTACACCACGGGTTACTACCTGTGACGTGATGGTTGGCACTGAGATGCCACTGTGCACGTCAGCCGACACCCAAACTACGGGCCCAGAAACAGCTGACAAACATATCAATACTGAAGTCCATATGGTAGATCTGGACTCAATTGTAAAGGTAATGATCAAACTAAAGAGCAATTATTATAATAGCTTGAAAAACAATGTAACATAACCTATTTAAACATTTCGCTTTCAGGCATTTACCAAACTCCAGGAAAAAGGGAAAAGGTATGAGACACACACAGTCCAACACTAAACGTGGGAATTTCTTCCACAGTAGTTGTTGAAGCCATTTTGCATATCTACCTTATTTATATCCATAATTCATGTTTTGTAAGTGTAATTATATTATGCAGAGGATGTTATGGATATCCCTGTGTTCATTATTGATATTGACTATCACTGAATTAAAGTGACGTCACATATAGGCGTGGTTTTGGCCCTTTCATTTAGGACAGGTACTCACAATTTTCCACCGCGTGATAGAAACCGCATGGTGTTCTCTGCATGATACAAGATATCTGTAATACGCCGCATGGCTTCAACTCTTTTGTTTATCTGTTTAAAATTGACTATTTTCTCAGTTTTCTTAAAATAAACAGACAACAATGGATCATTTATGTGGATGTGTGTTGATTTTCCGACTGCTCCATAACAGTAGTACTATTAATTATATACATATTTTTCCAGTTTGGCTTGTAAACTGAGAAAGGAACGTCAGTGTTTGCAGCGTGCGGAGCTGAGCCTCCTGGCCCTGCATTACAGCATGTGCAGACGGCACTGCTCCACCCTGAACGACTCCTCCGCTGAGGGAGGCCTGCTCGCCCCACAGTAAGGACACATCAATCTATAGCTTACCAGAGTTTTCCTTTTTCAACATTCAAACGCTTAATTGTCGTCATGCACGACCCACATACAGTTGTGGTCAAAAGTTTACATACACTTGTAAAGAACATGCATTTCATGACAGTATTGACTTTGCAATAATTTCTACAACTCAATTCATGTTGCTGTATGTATATTTTTGACCAAGTAGATCAAGACCCATTATAAAGTCATAAAAGAACCAAACTTCATGATTTTTGTCAAGTAGTGTGTGCTCCAATCATTCTAGTTGTAGAAATGATTGAAAAGTCAAGACTGTCATGAAATACATTATAATACTTTTGACCACAACTGTAGTGTAGATATGGTGTTGAAAGTCTTAAGTCCCAAGCTCCTCCAACAATGCAACATAATATATAAGACGTATAACAAATCTGAAAAACAATTGAAAAAAAGTGCAAGATTATGTTACGAGACCAGTGTGCAAGTAATGCAGATGAAGTAACCTTAATTTGGCAGAGAATGTTGTGACCAAGTAAATGCAGAATGTACAATTTAAATACTGAACAGTGGAATAAACTACAGTTTATTGTAGTAATAAAAACAGTGTGGGAAGCAACCAGATAAATGCTTCAGGCAGTCAATGTGTGCCAGAATGGTCTTTACTTGTATTATTCCCTTCTCTCTGTAGGCCCAGTAACCCTCCTGCAAACATTGCTACTGTTCTGCAAAAACTGGAGTGTGACTATAAAGCGATGAGGGATCAGATCCTGGCAGGCGTCCCTCTGGAGCAGCAGAAGCCTCTCTCTGTTGATTCTGAGAAGACAACCACGAGTTACATCCCTGCTCAGGTGAGACTCAGCCTGCTAACCCTATAATGTCTTGGAGGCCGTCTTTCTGCACATCTATCTTAAAAATGTTTGTCATTTCATATATTATAACCCCAGCTGTGATAGTAATGACTTAATTCTCTGTTGTCCCTGTTTAGATGGTTGGTGATGTGCTGGGAAATGTTCCATCAGGGTATGTCACAGACGTGCATATGTGTGAAGGTATTCAATTTGAACAGTTTAGCTTTGACTAGGCTCTAGATGCTCTAATGTGTTTGTTTCTGATCCCAAGGAGCTCCCAGGAACCGCAGAAACATGACACCTCACCAAGTGAAGACACTGCATGTCCTGATGATCAAATCAGAAGTGAATGCCAGGTATATATAGGACAGAACTAAGTAATACACAAAGCACATCTGAAATTCACCCTAACTGCATTTTGATACCACTTGGAGACCTTTCTATGTAAATGAACCTCATTGTAAAAACAGTCCATTTCACATAGATCAGAGTTAATAGCCACACACAGTTACAGTGAAATGATTAGTGTCTAAAGAGAGTTGGTGGTAACTGAACTACACTCAAAGGTTGTCATAGCCAGACTTTGCACTGATATCTGCAGCAGTGATTGTAGCCATGTGAAGGCGTCATGTTCCAATCAAACCCATGCAATTTGGGATTTAGTGACAGGATGCAAAGACAGCCCTGAAGGATTACGTAAATATATAAACAAAATATTTATTCTGCAAACACACTTAATGGGTGTGTTTGCGATGTTATATCATTGGCATAATATTTGTTGGTCCTTTGGATGGGGCGGATAGCGGTTCAAAATGACGCTCTGTTCATGGTGTTATCAGCAATCCATTCTTTGTGGAGTCTCCCCTGACATTAGTTTAGTTAAACAAAATGTGACATTTCATCCTCATCAGTTTGACCATCTTTGATGTTTTGTTTTCATTTCTTCGCCAGCAGAGTAACAATGAGGAAAAACAAATGAACAAGGAGAAGGCTGTCCCCCAGGATAGAGATGCTACCCATAATGCACACAAGCCAGAAGAAAAGCAGACACGTAAGCAGAAGCACCCCTCTAATGTTTTAATAAATCCCATGATCATTAATGTATTAATCAGAAGATGTGTCATTCTCTGTGTGAGCAGCAGCTGCATGTAAAGATGTCAGCACATTGGAGGCGTGGTTCGATGCTGAAGAAGACCTGCAGCCTGCATCAGCTGCTGAGACCGAGCCGGACCCTACGGTGATCACAACAGATCAGACCAGTGGTGAGAGATCAGGGATGGAAGTTAAAGCACTATAGCTGCACATATAAGGTTTTTAAATATATTTGGGATGAAATCCTTAGTGGAGAATTTGTGTTACCCACAGAATCCGGCAGCAAGGAGGTGGAGAGCTCGTTACTTTGTGTTTCAAACCTGCCCAGTAACGCCTCAGAGGTGAGGTTCTGCTGCTGACTGCACACACATTACCATTTAAAGCAGTACTCATAAGAACAAATGCTATTATAGTTGTCATATGTTGTTTAATATGTATTTGTTAGACATGTTTTATTAGCTAGTCAGATTTTGTAATGTTATGGCCTTGTATTACAGAGGTGTAGCCACCAGGGGGCGGTACAGGCTTTAACTGACTCTTGTTTTTCCCAGTGTGATGTGATGCAGTGGTTTGAGAAATACCATGCCTCTGAAGTCAGCATCTCTGCTTTAAAGAACGATTTGAGGTGAGCATCTGCTCTGCTCTAAAGAACATATATATATTGCAACACACACACACACACATTTTTCTTGTCATGCATCCATCCGATTTATGTGTGGTTGCATGAAGAACACAATGTTCTTCAGCTGTAATTGTGTTATGTTATGCCTGAAATCAGAAAAATATAATTATTTAACATTTAAAAATAATAAAGACTAGTATTTACACCACATTTAAAATATACTAAAAAAGCTAAGAACAATGAATATATGACAACCTGCAGTGTATTCATAAGTCCTTCGTCAGTTAGATAAGTGAATATGTTCTTGCAGCAATTTGTTTCCCAAATCGCCGTCAGTGTAACATGTCCCTCTTTGTTCTGTAGAGTTGCCATAGTGATGATAAGTGGAGCCCAATCTGCCGAGGCTGCAGTGAGAGAGCTGAATGGCAGCAGCATGCACGGCCATGCTCTACATGTGGAGCACATCAACAGAGCCAGGGATGAGACCCAGAACCAGGACCAGGACCAGGCCTCGGGCACCGTGAGGGGGCCGGAGTCCGCCCAAACAGAAACCTCCAAGTCTGACTCCAGCAGCGCAGACAGAAAGGTGAAAAGTTCAATGATGTTCACTTTATGCAGAAAAAAACGATGAGATTTTGTAAGAAACGAAAAAGTGAAATTCTAGTATCTTATCTATGCTTCTTTTAATTGTCTACTGTACATGCTGTGCAAATTATGAACATTATTGATGCTTATTTCTTCATTTGGAGCTGACCAACAGATACAGCTGCTTTTTATGTAATGTGTGTCTCCCTGTGTACCCAAGGCCCCTGACAGTTGTGACTAGGTGACCCTTGCTAAATAAGAGAGCTTAAAGTGCACCTATCATGCTATTTTAAGGCATATATTATGGGTCTCAGATATATACAAATATATAAAAACATGTCTATGATGTGTTTTTCTCAAAATACAAACGGATCATGCATTTTAGACATCCCTCAAATCCCTCTATTCCAGCCCTGTTTAGAGAAACGCGGATTTTGGGTCCTTAGTTTGAAAAAATAAAAAGAGGAGCCTGAGCTAATGCCTGATCAGAATTCTACCGGAGATAAAGTTAAATTCTGCTGTGATAAAACGCCATCCTGTTCTAAACCACATCAAGGATTGTTTCTGAAACAGTATGGAGCTCAAAGGCTTTCTCTCTTGCCGGTTATACCACAAGGTGAGTTCCTTTTTATTTCCTGCTTCTTCACACACATGCTCTCCAGTACAGGTTAGCGAGGCTTGCTAATGTAAACAAAGACGAGATTACATCCAAAACACGTCAGGCATTGTTTCTGATAGCAACTCTCTGTGGGTCCACTATCCGAAATTACGTCATATCGGCAGCAAATCTGTATCCGCTCGTTGTACCCCCGTTTTTAGAGATTTGGGTACGGAGGAAAAGAGAGAGGGTTTTATTTTCTGACGCTGCGTGAGTTCCCTGACACACCGGGGACACATGTTTATGTATAAAAGACATCAAAAAGTGCATTTTGCATGATAGGTCCCCTTTAAATAAAAATCATTAATACAACAATAATAATAAAGAATGAATCAATCTTTGAGTAGTTGTTCAAGATGTTTTGCTTCCTTTGTTAGATATTATATAACAATGTCATGATATTAAAAGTAACATATTTAAAGCTTCAGAGAGTTAGTCAGACAAAACTAAGTAGTCACCTTGGACTCTGGAACATTTTCAGGGATGCAAACTTGTCACCTTTCGGCGAAATTCGCCGTTTTGAATCCAAAATAGGTCGTTTGTGTGATTCATGTAGATCTGCAATAAAAATATTTTTGGGGTATGGGGGGTGTCTGGGACCCGGAGTAATCTGCGGCCGCGAGCTGTTATGTGCCATCATGACACGCATGGTGTTATCTTTTTATATATTATAATGAAGCGAGAGCTGTGTGCTCGAGTATTCCTGCCTGTCGGCTCTGCTCATGGATGTGTAATAAGGCTCTGTTGCTCCGGGATGAGGGTCTAGCTTCAGCAGCTACATTACCTACGGGTGCGTTCGTTAATATTAACTGTGTGGTCCGGAGTCACTGTGGCACAGACTGGACCGCTGGTGAACAGCTGTTAGAACGGGCCGTTCAGGTGTTCAGAACTTCAGAGCAGAGCTCCCTGACCTGAGCGGCAGAGCGTGATGTGCACTGAAAAGTGTTCCTGTCGCAATATTATTTAATGAATCGTTGAGCTAGCTAACTAGCATACATTGTCACTATCTGCTAACGTTAGCTTTAGCCTTCGTTTTCTAATCGTTTTTTTCATAGGCTATAAACGGAGGTGGTATAAGTATATATCTTGAGTAAAAGTAGAAGTACTCAGGTCTTGTACTTGAGTAAAAGTAGAAGTACTCAGATCTTGTACTTGAGTAAAAGTAGAAGTACTCAAATCGTGTACTTGAGTAAAAGTAGAAGTACTCAAATCGTGTACTTGAGTAAAAGTAGAAGTACTCAAATCGTGTACTTGAGTAAAAGTAGAAGTACTCAGGTCTTGTACTTGAGTAAAAGTAGAAGTACTCAAATCGTGTACTTGAGTAAAAGTAGAAGTACTCAGGTTTGAGTAAAAGTAGAAGTACCAGAGTGTAAGAACAATCCTGCAATCAAAATGTTCCTCAAATAAAAGTACAAAAGTATTATCATCAAAATATAGTTAAAGTAGCGACAGTAAAAGTAAAAGTACTCAGATCTTGTACTTGAGTAAAAGTAGAAGTACCAGAGTGTAGGAATACTCTGTTACAGTAAAAGTACTGCATTCAAAATGTTCCTCAAGTAAAAGTACAAAAGTATTATCATCAAAATATAGTTAAAGTAGCGACAGTAAAAGTAGTCATTGTGCAGATTGGTCCATTTCAGAATAATATATATGATATGTTTTATAATGATTGATCATTAAAGTGTTCTCAAAGCTGGTAAAGGTGCAGCTAGTTTGAATGACTTTGTATACTGCAGGGTAGCTTGTGAATTTACTCCAGGTGGAACTAAAGTCTGATTTAACACTTGATTATATTTCACATCATTCATCCACATCTGTGAAGTTACTAAAGGTATTAAATACATGTAGTGGAGTCAAAGTACACCAGTTACCTCTGAACTGTAGAGGAGTAGAAGAACAAAGTAGCAAAACATTGAAATACTTAAGTAAAGTACAAGTATCTCAAAATTGTACCCAAGTATAGTACTTGAGTTTATGAACTTAGTTACTTTACACCACTGGCTATAAAGATAGAAAGACTAAGCCTTGCACAGAGGCATGAAAATACATTTTCAAAATTATAAACTGACTGCTACACAATTAAAATAAATGCTTTTATATATTTCTATTAGATGTGACTCTTTGGCGTTTCTGTTATTATTAACTGCTTTAGTTCTGACTGCTAAAATCCTCTGTTATTCCTCATTTTAAAGCCGATATTCCGTGGGGTCGGGGGGGCTCGGATCCTTGTCACCTTTTTCATACCTGATGAGTTTGCATCCCTGATTTTACTGGGCAATTTTCTCAGTTTTTCTGACATTTTATAGACAAAACCATGATGAATATAAAAATTAATCGCTGCCTTACAAATAAAATATATTTGTGCTTTTATATCATATTATTTTACACGATCCTGAAAGTTTAAACAGCTCTATATGTCTTTGTCATGCTTTGATCACTCCCTCTCTGCAGCTGATCAGTCAGCCGCCGCTGAGCTCCAGCCTGAGGGCCAGGAGGGTGGTGTGCGTCTCGCCCACAGCGAAGGTAACCATGGTGCAGGAGAACTACTGCACCTTGGGAGGCCTCAACACCCTGATTACGGAGCTCACTCAGCTCCACCCGGGCGTCTCCAGGCAGAGGTTTTTGGATGCTCTGCTGGAGCTGAAGGCCAAACACAAGGGCGTCCTCTGCGGCCTGCCGCTCCGCACCATCAGGGAGATGACCTCTGACCTCATCACCGGGCCAGAGAGCGCCACACAGCTATGAAGAAGCAGTCTTTACAGTTATTTGTTGAAAAAGCATCATTACATCTCCAGTTTATTCTTTACAACTCGAGTAGTTCAGAGGGAGAAATTCACCTAAAGGAATTGGGTTTTCTTTAAAAGATTTGTTACATTCTACTAATAGTTTTGTCATTTCCAGTTGAGTTGTATATTCAAAAGATGCTTCATAGAAAGTTCTAGTTATTTATTTGGCATACAGTTACTTGCATACAGTTTTATATGCATCAGCTTTGTTTGCATTTGATGTCCTCTTGCTTTGTTTGTATTTGATGAGCTCTATCAATAAAAAGGACACAACATTTGCCCACCTTAAACTCTGTTGTTAGCCCTGCTCTGTTTATTGGATTAACCTCTCTAACGCGAGGAGACAAAGGGACCAGTGATACAATGTGAAGCTGCCTCCCTTTGACTCATGGACAAGGTTGCATGCTGTAATTCGACCTTTGGATAATACTAAATATGGCTGCATTCACACCCTGCTTCTTTTGGTGCTCAATTCAGATTTATTTTTGTTTGGCTGTTTACATTATCTTTTAAATGTGGCCAAGATCAGAATCCTGGTTGAACTAGTTACAGTCCTGAACAGACCGTCATGTACGAAAGAAATAACAAAGTTGTACTGCAGTAACAATAGAGGCCACTTAGGTCAGCATTTAGAGTATAGTTTAAATGTAATTCTCGATAGCAACGATGAAGAGGAAAATGGTTAAAAAAATGTCCCAAGAATTACCATGTTTCGGTTGAATGCCTCTGTCATCCAGTCACTTTGCAGTTTACATATATGTCTTTCCGAATTGCATTTAATCCAACATTTGTTTGAAACAGTGACAGTATTTATATTTTTTACGTGTGGGAATCCGAAATCTAATCAGTAACTGATTTAGGACCACATATGAAAGTGGCCCAAATCAGAATAAATATCAAATTGTATGAAATTCCAATTTACACCAAATACCCAATTTTAGTAACATGCTAAATTCCAAAAAAAAAATTGGGATTTTTTTGATGTGTTTGCCAGCCTTCAACCAATTTTGGTAAAAGAAAAGAGGAAATTAAAAGGCTAGTCAAATGTGACCCCAGCTACAGTTCTGTGGATGCCCCTTTTCCTTCAAACCGGTTCCGGTTCGGGAACAGTTATTGTGCTTTTCTGGTGCTTAACTGGTTCTTCGTACTCGCCATTATCTGTTATTGCTCAGGTTAATCTCGCCCCCCTCCGACGTAAGCGTGACGTATTGGTTCTTGGTTCTTGCTGGGCAGCCGAGTGGGGTCAGCTAAGAACTGGTTTTCCTGCTTAGAGCCGGCTCCGCTGCGGCTGAAACGGGAAGAACCGGAGCTAAATCAGGCTCTAGCCCGGAACAGGTGTTGTGCCGTAGATTGAAGGCTTGCCATGGATTGAAGCCGAGGGCTGACGTCATTTCAATTATTGGACGTTTCGGCTAGGTTTCTAAGCGGAAGAACGGAAAAAATGATTTACTTCCACATGTGGCAGACCAGGCGTTGGTGCTGCCGGGTTTGGCACCCCCACTATAACTGTCCTAGATAGTCGTACTCCCACCAAAAAGTGCTGATTCTCTGTCTGTTACTTTAGATGAAAATAAGGAGCCCCTCCCCACGCCCCTCTGAGAGATATTTGGTTAAAAAGAACACAATGGTGCTCGAGGAGGAGATTCAGGTGATAAGGTGGGGGGGGGGTTACCTTGGTTGGTGATTGTCTAATGGTTACACAAGCCAAAAAATCGTCTTGACATCATAAAGTGGCCAAAATCTGATCAGCTCATTTTCAGACAGGTTTTTATATAAATGGATCAGGACAAAAAGAGAGAGAATCTTTTTTCCTGAAACTTTCAGAATCTCTTTCCACAGAGGGGACACATGTTGATGTAGAAGAGACAGGAAAAAGTGGATTTTGCATAGGTGACCTTTAATTTAAAGTGTGTATTTCACCTCTGGAATCTCTCGCCCTGGAATCGGTTTGGTGGAAAAGGGGCACAGTCCCTGGATGATTCCCCAGGATCCACCACTAGGTGTCCGCAGCTCCTCTGCCTCCTGTGGGGTTTAAACCACAGTGTGGTGCGAACTGTTCAACCAGCAGCGGAGGGGTTAATATAATCCCTGCTAGGGAATGGGCGGAGATTCCAGCTGGGACACAAACCGGACAAACCGAAAAGGCAACACTGAAACCTGGAGCAGAAACCCGCTGCTGGAGTTGTGTGTATTCATTTATCTTTGTGTGGCCTTTTTTGTTTCCTATACACCTTTTTTTTTGCGCATAATTCCACCGTGTGGTACCGAGGAGCGCCATGAAATCCATTGAGAAGTTGTGGAGTTGCTGTCAGCTATGGGTGAAGTAGTCATTAGGACGTGGAAATCTGCTGTGGAGAAGTCCAACAACAGAACCTCAGGATCAACAGGACTGCGAGGAGCGCTCCCTTTCTGCACAATCTAAAACAATGGAAGAGGCTCCATGCCTTTACGCGGATACAACACTGAGCCCAGACAACGCGCTGTAGAGGGGCTGAGATGGTCTAAAAGCACACTTTATTGTGGAGGTTTGCACACATAAAGAGGAGTTAATCCAATGAGAGGGCTGATGGTAAAGTAATTACCGGTGTCAGCTGCGAATAGACACACAAATCTGGTATTTCGACAACACGCCGACTGACACCATGTGGAGCCCGGGGACGTGGATGTGGAGAGCGGCTGTGTGCTGCATGCTTCTGGAAACATTTCTGCACACTGCGAGAGGTAGGACAAAGCGGGATTGTCTGCCTTTGCAATAAATTATCTGCTATCTTCTATCGAGCCTGTTTGTGTAGAAACATCACACAGTGGGTCAGTGTTTGGGGCACACACAGGAAGAATAGCTACTGTAAACTGGAGCCACATGCAGGAGAGTCAACATTTGGATGTTTGTTTACAGTGCAGCCATGGCTCTGAGAAAATATAATTTATACCCTCTTTCATCAGAACATATGATGGAATTGCACTGTGCCTAACTCAGTCCTTCTCAATTTTCAGTGTGTGAATTCAATGATAATTGGGCAATGTAATGAATACCTGTCAGTAATTCAAAACATATCTCTATTTCTGGATTAAAACATATTTGTATGTGCATTTAAGCTGCATAAATTGACCAAATCAAATTTAGCAAAAACATAAGGTCCCTATAGGCCTTTAGTTCAAAGTAAGATGACACTTGTGAAAATGTCAACACTCTTTAAACTGACTGACCTGAAAACCACCCCTGCAATGCCATGCAAACTTCCTTTGTGAATATTCTAATGTTTAACTATTGTTGGCACTGAGTCAGATCACTGGTATGTTTTTCTGGCGGTTAGTTTTATTGGACTGCATTTTTACTGAGAGATGTCATTACATTGATGTCACCTCAATTGGAGATACATACCATAAGAAAAGATCATTACAACAAACATTACCATAGAGCTGAATAAACAGACACACTGCTATTGAAAACCATACATTTCACATGGAGTACAGCAGGTCTGTTTTCTGGTCCCTAACTTTAAGTCCCATTATAACTACATTCATGATTATTTTTCCAGTTATTTATTTGTACTGTAACCCTCCCTGTCTCTGATCTTCTTCAGGTCTTAACATGTGTATGGGTGGCAGCGCTACTTCCTGTGAAGAATGCCTCCTGATTCACCGCAGTTGCGCCTGGTGCGCACAAGAGGTACCTCATTGTTCTCATGATTTGTGCAAACACTGTGCAGGTATAGTTTCCATAGAGGTCAACAGAGGTGGGAAGTAGTTGAGTACAAATACTTCGTTACTGTACTTTTTGTTGTACTGTTAAATTTTTCTGGTATCAGTACTTTACTCCACTACTTATTTTTCTGACGACTTTTTACTTTTACCTCTTACATTTGGAACACAAATACCTGTACTTTCTACTTCTTACATGTTGAACACAAATACCTGTACTTTCTACTTCTTACATTTTCCAAACAGGCTGGTTCCTTTAGTTTGAATGTGTGTTTGGTGGCGTGATCATTATTATTTAGAGTCATTGCGTGCCTATTGATTTGAACACGATCCGTGTATCCATCATTTCCTGGTCTTCTCTAAAGAAGAGGGACCAATGAAAACGTTGTCATGTTGCCGTTGTTCAGCATGGAAACATTCATTTGCTAACAATGACATTATTGTTCTATTAATATAAAGGGAGGTCAGGTACTCTTTAAAACAGCTGCTAGTTATGGGTACTTTTTACTGAAGTACATTTCAAAGCCCATACTTCTTTACTTTTACTTGAGTAAAGAAGTTTAGTAAGTACTTCTACTTTTACCAAAGTATTTTTAAACACGAGTATCTGTACTTCTACTTGAGTAAAGGATGTGTGTACTTTTGCCATCTCTGGAGGTCAAACAATGATTGTAGGCCACTTGTATCATTATGTTTCCCACCACTGTCAATAACGTAAGGTTTGTTTCCTCTCCATCCTTCAGGAGTTTGGGAGGGGGCGGACTCTGACACGCTGTGATTTCAGTCAGAACCTGCAGAAGAGAGGCTGTGACGCTCGGTTCATCGAGTACCCCACCAGCAGCGTCTCGGTGCTGCACAACATGCCTCTGAGCTCCAAAGGGTCCGGGTGGACCCAGAACGACGTGGTTCAGATTCAGCCTCAGAAACTCTCCCTCAGCCTGCGGCCAGGTAAAGATAGACTTTAGAGTGCACACGCCTGAGAGATGGTATGGTTAAAAAAAGACACATAATGAATAATACAAAGCTTCTTTCCTCGAGTCTTAATGGATGTAAATGTAAGTTTCTTTTAAAAGAAGCAATGAAAGAAGAATCCAAAATCTGAGAAAAGTCTGAATGAATTAAAGTAAATGGTGGCCAGGTTTTAAAATAGCAAAACTTTATCGAAACATCTGTTTACAAACTATCACAACACTCGTGCAATGTCATCCAAGTCTTGTGTTTTCAGTGGTATGCTCACTATTTTGATCATTTCATGCATTTTATAATAGAAGCTGACTTTATGAACACAGAGCATCACGCCTGCAAAAGCATGAGACTGTCTAGTAGTGTTTTAAATAATCCGGTTTTAGTCATATGCATGTGTTTGTAAAGTAGTATGCATGGGACTGGATAAATGAGACGGTTTGTAAATAAATGTTTTGATAAAGTTTCCCTGTTGTTTACTGCTGCCCCCATTTACTTCATTTCGTCAAGATGATTCTATAGTTTTTGGATTCTTCTTTCTCCCTGGAGGCATGAAAACGACCTTTCTTTAAGAATTGTGTGTCATTTTGTGTTGGATAAAGTACCCCTTTAAGTGTTAGTCAGTGTGAGTAAACCAGCTCACAGCTTCTCTCCTCGGCCCCTCCAGGAGACCAGACCTCGTTTGAGCTGCAGGTGCGGCAGGTGGAGGATTACCCCGTGGATCTCTACTACCTGATGGACCTCTCTCTCTCCATGAAGGACGATCTGGAGACCATCCGTAACCTGGGCACCAAGCTGGCCCTGGAGATGGGAAAGCTCACCAGCAACTTCAGGCTAGGCTTCGGCTCCTTCGTGGACAAAAACATGTCGCCCTTCTCCTACACTGCTCCCAAGTACCAGGAGAATCCGTGCAATGGGTGAGTAGCGGCTGCAGGATTGAACCGTCCTGTCACGTTCGGGTCAAATCTGACCGATATACTACTTTCATCAATCACAAATATTATGTTTTACATTTGATTGCCTCAAGGCCCTTATGATATCCTCCACAGTAGGCATTTAAACATATCAGAATACCTTTATTCGTCCAGCAGAGGGGACATTTACATATACAATATACAACTTTGTAACACCTATGATGTTCACCACATGTAAATGAATGGGTAACCCTTGATAATGTTCATCCATCAGATAGTACAAACCTACAAATCGAAGAAAGTTTAATTACATTTTCAGTGTTTACTCTTTGTATGTTCACTGCAGTTATACATGTAAACCAGTAGTCTGAGAAATACTTTACAGCTTAAAAGGGGGTTAAACTAGTTTGGTGATGATTCATGTTTTTTTGTGTTAAATTAAGAGCAGTTAAAACAGACCGGTCAAATTGAACCCCAAAGTAAGGGCGGAGAAACGAACACGACAGGAGGGTTAAAGCATGAATATAAATGACGCCCTCACAAGGAGCCTGCGTGTGACTGAAGAAGCGCTCTGTCAGGAGATGAAAGTGAAGTAACAATTGACTCAAACCCACTCGTTCTATTTCTGCACACTCATGAAACATGCATGGTTGGATATCCTTCAGTTGCAGGGATGGGAGATTCTTCATATTTGATAAAGCAGAGGGATGCAGCAGGGTTTGTTGATGAGGGCAAAGTGACAGGCAGCGAACAGACAGAGGGTCAGAAGCTGCGGAGCACCATGTTTGCCCCGGAGCTGAGAGCGCTCTGCATCGCGCATCACTTCACATCTAGGTTATGGCTTTTGATTCAATGCGTGTGTGTGTATATGATGTGTGTATATGTGTGTGTATATGTGTGTATATGTGTGTGTATATGTGTGTATATGATGTGTGTATATATGTGTGTGTATATGTGTGTGTGTGAGTGAAGCACGGCAGGGAAATATTAAAAGGGATAGATGACAGCATTTTGACCTCTTAGCAACCCGGCTCACTTCTGCCTTTGTTCATCCTGTTTATGTAAGTATAGAGCTCAACAATGAGTCTGAGTTTCATATGGACTTGTGCCATATATGAATCACAGGAGGTGGAGTAAAAAGGCAAAAATATGTGTCAAAACATCATTCTGAATGAAGTACTGTTGGTGCTGCAGAGATGTCCTGCAAATGATATCCAGACTTAGGATAAAAACCTTTTTTATTTTTTTTATTCTTGCAAACTTTTAATCATACCATTTATATTTTCAACATATTTTTATTGGAATCGACAAAAATAATGCAAAAAATTATGATTATTCCGTCCAATATGAATGTGTTATATTCTAATTGCAATATCAGTCAAAAGTAATCGCAATACTATATGAGAATACTTTACTTTGATTGCCTGTATTTTCCAAAATCTGTCAATGTCAGATTTAATTTTTTGCAATTCTTTATTTACAAGTTAGTTGAGAACATTTCACTAGTTACAGCGACATAAACCTGAAGTTACAGGGAGTAATCAAGGTTGGCAATAAGGAAACAGTATGAATGGTTAATGGTTACACAACCCTAAAAATTGTTATGACATCATAAAGTGGCCAAAATCTGATCAGCTCATTTTCAGACAGGTTTTTATATAAATGGATCAGGACAAAAAGTGAGAGAATCTTTTTTCCTGAAACTTTCAGAATCTCTTTACCCAGAGGGGACACATGTTGATGAAGAAGAGACATGAAGAAGTGGATTTTGCATAACAGGTGACCTTTAATCTCCGATACCCACAGATACAAACTGTTCCCCAACTGCGTCCCCACCTTCGGTTTCCGCCACATCCTCTCGCTGACGGACAAAGTGGACCGCTTCAACCAGGAGGTGCAGAAGCAGATGGTGTCTCGCAACCGCGACGCTCCGGAGGGCGGGTTCGACGCCATCCTGCAGGCCGCCGTTTGTAAGGTGAGGAAGTCTTTAGAATCAGAATCTGAATTTATCGCCAGGTGCGTTGACACAAACAAGGAATTTGCTTTGTGGTGTAAACATGAACAACATAAGGAAATAAATCATCATTAAAAACTCACCTGTTCACCATGGCCTTTGACCCCTAACCCATCACATTGTTTGTTTGTTCATCATGTAAAGCGGCCTTGGGTCCCTTGAAAGGCGCTATACAAATGTAATCTATTATTATTATAAGTGGTAAGAGAGGGTCAAAAATATAACAATTATAAAAAAGAAAAAAACTATATTCACACCAAATATAAATACTCAAAAGCGTAGTTCAATGAATATACGAAAACATGACAATATATGACAAACTTGATCTCTTCTCTCTTAGCGATGCAAGTTCATTTATACAGCACCTTTCAACCCAAGGCAACTCAAAGGGCTTTGCAAACATTCATTGAGAGCATGAAGAAATAGTGCAGCGGAAAAACTTTATAAAATGACATTTAAAAACAGTCATTAAAAAGCAAAGAGAATTAAAAAAGCTAGAATAACAGAGGTATACAATACATGAAAGTCACAATGCAGTGTAAGATATGAATAATTCAAAGACTGCCTTGCATCCACTGTTATCTTACGTAACCCCCCCCTGACTCGGCTGCATGGAAGATGCCCCCGTGACAAGCGTCTGGCCTGTTTGCTTGTTAATTAAAAGCACAAGGGGGGGGGGGGGTAGACAGGAAGTGCCGTCTGCTGCAGCTGGTTAAACATGAGGACGAGTCAGATCTCTCCTCAGCCAATTTAATTGTTTTCTTCAGGAAGAGAATGACTTCCTCCGAGCGGCTCCTGCCTTGTAATTTACTCCTGCCGCACTGTTTCAAACCCTCGCTGCTCAGGAGGCGGGGCTTAGTCCGTCCCAGAGACTCATTCATCCTTTTATTTGTTTGATATTGTAGGTATGGTCAGGCAGTTTACTGTCAAGTTGATCATGAGTTAAAATAAACATTAAGTAGTTGCATTGTGTGAAACAGAGACAAGTGTTTATTGAATGAGAGAAAGGGATTAACTGCAGAGGAGTTAGCAGATATTTTACCTAGGTAAAAGTAGAAATACTGTGTTGTTTGTATAAGTGCCTGTGTTTCTGTAGTGGCGTGCATTAGTCAGCACTGTTGTTTCCTGTTGATAATGCAGCGGGCCTGTGGTAGACCGCTCTGGCTGCTGTTTCAGTGTGTGTGGATCAGTGGGAAACTTATAGAAACTTATATTGAGTTCTTAGTTAAATATGGAGGCTTACCTAAAATATAAAGCAATGTTATGTGTTGATATGTTGCTTCTGTCATCTGTAAACAGAGGTGGACGAAGTACTCAGATCTTCTAGTAAAAGTAGGAAACCACAATATAAAAACACTCTCTTATAAGATTAGATGAACCCTCTGGCACATGAAGAAGGAAATAAAATAAAATCCTCATGGATTACCGGGTGGGAAATCAAATACATTACAATCTCTTCAACTGCCCTTTTCAGTTGTGACATTTAAATTCTAACTTCAACTGGCCCACTTCAGTTGTGACATTTAAATTCTAACTTCAACTGGCCCACTTCAGTTGTGACATTTAAATTCTAACTTCAACTGGCCCACTTCACTTGTGACATTTAAATTCTAACTTCAACTGGCCCACTTCAGTTCTGACATTTAAATTCTAACTTCAACTGGCCCACTTCAGTTGTGACATTTAAATTCTAACTTCAACTGGCCCACTTCAGTTGTGACATTTAAATTCTAACTTCAACTGGCCCACTTCAGTTGTGACATTTAAATTCTAACTTCAACTGGCCCACTTCAGTTCTGACATTTAAATTCTAACTTCAACACTTTTTGTTATATTCCATGGAATGCTCTTAACATCCCGATAGCAATGAAGACATTAAATGCTTTGACAATAAATACATAAAAAAATTAAATCTGTGGAAGCCGTGGTGCTGTAAAAAGCACAACCAATCATCTGAGCCGGCCCGGCTAAAATAACTGGATGGCCTACCTGCCTGTCAGCCTTCCATCTCGTGCACAAACTTATCTCGTGCCCTCATTGGTCATGTGCGCGTTCGTGTGTGTTGGAGGAGGGGCTCTGTAAGGAAGTCTGAAGGAAGGGGCAGATTTTTTTCGGCTGCGTACTTTCAAATTCTCGCGCACTCGAGCTGGTTTCTCCATTCTTACCTAGCCTACCTTTAATATGGAGACCTCAACAGTCCTGACCAAGCCGACAGGAAGTGTGCCTGTCGTTGAAGCAAATGTTCGTAGTGGCCAAACGGCGGTACTACAACTTCGGTGTCAGTCCGTTTAACGTCATTTGGCGCAAAAATACTTTTTCCCATTGACTTACATTAGGAAAGAGACATCTGCAAATAAGATGATTTTTTAACTAAATCAACTCGTTGTATTAATCATTTGGTTCTAAAAGTTGTAAAATGCGCTTTAAGCCGAATCCGAGTAATTTTTTCTCTCCATTCATTTCACTGAGATAAAATCGGGAGATCAAAGGCGGGACTTAATGAAAACTCAGGTGTGCATGCTCTATGGGTCCAGATGCAGGTATTTTTGCTCTGGAGAGTCAGTCATATTTTGGCTTCATGCGCCACTGAGCAACTTCCCTAGAAATGAACGTGTCCTGCCTCCCACGCTGCATCCAGCTCTCTTTATACTCCGTGGTCCTGACCTGCTGTGTCTCTCTCAGGAGGAGATCGGCTGGAGGAAGGAGGCGTACCACCTGCTGGTGTTCGCCACAGACGATGTTCCTCACCTGGCTCTGGACGGACGGCTGGGGGGCCTCGTGCAGCCCCACGACGGGGAGTGCCACCTCAACGACAAGAACGAGTACAGCGCCTCCACACAGATGGTGAGTTTTTCCTGGGTCCATCCTTTTTATATATGTTCACATTATCATATTTATCATTTGGTTGTCTATGCTGTAAATGGATTTATTTCTTTAAATCTACCTCATCAGGATAATTCTGACTAATTAGTAGACTTTTATCAAATTAAACATTACAGTTAGCTTGAGAGTAGGGCTGTGCAATGATTTAATATGATAATTTATCGCTTTTCAATTAAGTCATATCTTCAATTAAATAATTAAATTATATAGATATTATGATTAGTAATATCGCAAATGTTTCGTCATTTGTCATTTATTTTATTTAAACGGGAGTATGCAAAAGTAGGCTTTACCATGTGGTTTTTACATAAAGAATGTTTATTTATCGACTTACCAGGAAAACATGCTATATCATGATATACATACAAGTGATGAAATTACCTAGAGGATAAGCTATTACTATATTATCCGGATAGGAGGTTTTGGCCATATCCCCAAAAAGAGGTGCAGTCTTATTTAAGCAACAGGATGTATTCTGTTCAATTTATACTATTTATCACATTTAATCCCCTCAAGCAATCATCTTGTAACAATATCATAAAGCAGAACATTCACACTGCAGCTTTAAGTCCTCTAACTTAAACCTGTAGTTCACTGGGTCACACATTGCCAGAGTCTATTACACACCTTCAGGTACTTTTCCATACAGACTCCAGCTGTACATGGACATTGGAATTAGCAATGTTTACTCAAAGAGTGAGTAATGTCTCACTCTTTGAGCAGCTTCCTTCTTAGATGACGAGGTTTCTTGTATGATAATAAACTTACCTTTCATGAGTTTCTAGCTACACATGGCTCTAAGCCTTAGCATAAATAACTTGATTTAAATACGTTTTATGTCAGATATTTTTCACTTCATCTGGTTCAATATCAAAGAACTACTTATGTGAATTCAGCTTCAAATAAATTCTAATTCAGCCCGGCAACCTGAGTAAGAACTTGTGTGTATTAATAGCAGAGAGAAGGTCCGATACACACATTATACCTGGAGGCTGCCAGAAAACCCTCAGAATAGACTGTTGACTTGTTACACAGCTGAAGAGCGTGCAGAGATACAAATAGATTTGAAATGTTAGTCTAAATCCCTGTCCTCATTCACTCTTCCATCTGACATTTATGATATGAGTGATAATGCTGATCAGGAGTATGTTGTTGTCAGATGCATTAAAATCACACACAAACAGTTTTGCTCACATGATACGTGCATACAGTCTGAGATGCCAGAGGACTAATGCTATCAAACGTATCATCATCATGTGAACTGCACTGCGCTCTCATTTAATGGGGGAATTTTTGTGTCCACTCGAAACAAACAATTTCATAAGACCGCATAACAAGGAGAAGACTTTCTTTACCTCAGTCTCTTTGTGCCTGACACAAGTTGCAATGGTTTGGGGAAAACACTGGGCCTCATGCAGGAAGTGATACACAAATAAATGTGGTCCTATTTTCTTATTACCCATAGCATTGATTCCCCCAATGTTTTTTATAGTTAGTAAGTTAATTTTAGACTGTTTTCACAGTCCACAGATTAGAAATAGGGAAATAAGTTCGGTCACAATCATTTTATATAATCAAATGTATTATCTTATGTTTTAGAGACAGGGTTCTTACGGAACCTGGAAAAGTCATGGAAATTCAAAATGCTAATTCCAGGCCCTGGAAAAGTTATGGAAAACAATATTTTTCCCAAAGTTTTGGAAAAGTCATGGAAATGTAACTAAAGTTGCATCAAATATAATTTATATTTTATCTAATCGCCGAAATAGTAATACTATAACAATAATAAATACTGTATCGTATAGTAATGAAACGTAAAATGGCATTTAACTGTCGAGGTATTTTGCTGGTGAGAGATTTGAGTTGCTTTAGCGTGTAGAAGCTAGTAAGCCAACTATTGGATTTGTTTTGGATAGGCACAACATGTTTCATATGCAGACCTTATTTTCCTGTTCCATGTTCAAATAAACCATTTTCAGTGGTACCGCTGAGAAAGAGTCATTTTTTTGGTCATGGAAAATGCGGTAAAGGTCATGGAGAAGTAATTGAAAATCATTGGTGAAAAAGTGTATGAACCCTGTAGAGAGATATTCATGATTGGCTTATAACATTTGTGGGCTGCAGATATTATTATAATCAATCAATCGTAATTTTAGACAAAAAAACCCTACATTTTAGTGCTGTTGGAGTTCCTCTTCTTTCATACTCTAAGCATATGGTGTTGCATAAGTCCCATTTCTGTTTTTTCAGTAAAACTATGTCATTGGTTATGGATACAAATCACTGGGAGTTTGTTTATATTCCATATGTCTTAAATAAAAATGTCTCTCAGGGCCGAATTGAATCCAATAAAGATAACCACGTCTCAAAGTGCGATCTGGAACGCTCTCAGACTCTCTGATGCTGAAAAGAGATAACATGAAGCTCTGGTGTCAAAGAGCCAGCAGAGCAATGTAAACACAACACGGGTCAGAAGAGCATCCGGTAGTGAGCTTCCTGTTTGTGAAAATACCCATAATGCCTTGCAATCTCTCCTCACAGGACTATCCCTCTCTGGCTCTGCTGGGGGAGAAACTGGCCGAAAATAATATCTTCCTCATCTTCGCCGTGACGAAACGCCTCTACGTTATTTACAAGGTACTTTGATTCCCACTTTTTTTTATCTTGCATACTTTTCCTATTTATTATATGGCCAATGACGTTTAACGACGGGCTCATTTCAAAATACGAAAAATCTGAACATCTAATAATATTTTTTTTTAACATTAAAACACATAAATGCATATCCATTTTTTTATTTGGGTTATATAAGTGGTTGTTCGTCTTAATAAATCGAATGATCCTTAAAAAATTTCAGGATTTATCTTAAGAATAAACAAATAATTCAACATTTTGAACAAGCTGTCAGTCATCTTAAGTGTTTGGAAACAAATGATTTGTATTTGACATGTTGTTAGAGGTGAACTTACATTTATCTTATTATTTATGTATTTGTTTAATAATGTCGCCGTTGCCTACAAAAATATTGTTGACAGGAGAATTTTCTTTCATGCAAGCTACGATATATTACATTTGTTTCCCTTTTTAAAGAACTTCACTGCACTCATACCTGGAACCACGGTAGAAATCCTGGACACGGACTCTAAGAACGTCATTCAGCTGATCATCGCAGCGTACAACGTGAGTAAAGACTATCTGTCAGTGAGTGTGTGTGTGTGTGGTTTCCTGTTTATGTGTGTGTGAGAGCCAAGGAAAGACAGACAGGGATTTGAGAAGAAAGACAAGAGAGGGGGGGGAAGGGGGAGGAAGAGGGAGGGAAATTCTTTAAAGTCTTCGCACTACTGAGACGCTGCTAATGAGCCTCCAGCTGACAGCTCACACACAAGCTGGGTTTCTCATCTGTCGTCAGGAAGTGGTTTTAACAGCTGACTTTGTAGCAAATTGGATTTTTTTTCTCCGTGCGATTTTTCCCATAGGGACAGTAATTATTTGAAGATGAATCAATTGACAGATGTAGAAGTCAGTATTAAATCAAAAATAAGAAATGGTTTAAAGGTCCCATGTCATGGCCATTTCTACTGATCATATTTCCATTGTTGAGGTATACTAGAATAGATTTATATTGTGCAATTTTCCAAACTCACATTGGTTTCTCATACAGCATCTCTGTATAGTATGTGTATTCACTCTCTGTCCTAAACGGCTTGTTGGCGCTCCTGCCCCCCCCCCTCCCTGTGAGCCCAGTGTGCTCTGATTGGTCGGGACGTTGCGAGGCTCGTTGCGAGGCTCGTTGCGAGGCTCGTTGCGGCGAGCCGCTGCTGCGAGCTGCTGCGAGGAGCGGACAGGTTTCCGGGTCGGCGATACAGCGAAACTCATCCTGAGCACACAAACACTCACAGCCGAAGTAAAAACAATAAGTGTGGCTTGATATTGAGTAAGAAAAAGGTTTATAAATGCTGTGAGAATGGGTCTGCGGAGAGCATTTCTCCACCATCCCAACTCGTCTATTACCAACCAGGGAGCTCTATGCAAGTCAATGGGGACTCCCTGTTAGTTAGCCAAGGGATCCTGGTGTGTGAGGTGCTCCGCGGATTGGTCCATTTGGGCCAATCCGGTAATTTGTTGTTGATTTGGGTATTCACACGTCACAGAACCCAGGAAGAAAACAATGGAAAATGAGAAATGTCCAACGAGGCGTTCTGGGGCAGCATAGACAGGTCTTTTCTGTGTTAGAGTTTTACTCGCTACAGGGTGTACTTTGAGGGCGTCTGCAGACCGCTTACATGCAGAAAAACCTTCATAACACACAAGGGGACGGGTAATAACCGGATGACAGGGGCCCTTTAAATGAACCCTACTGTCCTACCTTACATTTGATTTCGCCTCACATGAGACACTTGAGTTTGACTCTAAACAGTCAATCTAAAATTCAAAAATAGAAGCTTTTAGCTGCAAAAACATTCAAGCCTGACTTCAGTGGATGCAATATTAAATATCTGTGTGACTTCTACAAGAGAGCCCATATTAAAATAAACAATAGGCTGCACTTTTCCTGCAGGATTTGCTCATCTCTCATTTTAAAAAGCTGACCAACACTTCCAAAAATGAACCAAAGCTCTTGCAAATGTTTGGTAATCATGCAAAATGTTCTATTTTAGCACCGAACAAACAGTAACGACACACCCTAATAAGTATATGTCACATTATTCTCTAGGATGTCCACCACCCTCACCTGAAGACTGATATTCATCTGATTTCCTGTCTTATAAAACACATTTCCGTTCGTCTGTTAAACTTTCTGAAGTGAACTGCATGAGCCGTTCCCTGGATGTTTTCCTGTGTGGGTGTGCAGATGTTTCCTTGCCTCAGTCAGGAGGAACCTTTTTTAGCCCGTGGCAGCGTATTCTCTGCGACAGAAACGTTTGTCAGACCAGACTTGATGTGCTCAGCGTGTGGGAGTGAGTTTGAATGAAGAGCATTGACTCACGGCCTTATTAACATTCCTGCTGCCACATTATAACTCTGGGCTGTTAGCTCCGTGGGCTTCACTAAACACTGGGAGGTTACCTTGTGTAACCTTCTGATTTTTCCTAAAGTTTGACTCAAAGTGCTCCCTGTTGGGACCGTGTTGAGGGTCAGTACAGTGTAAGTGTGTGTGTGAGAGAGAGAGAGAGTCAATCAGATCAGGTTCATTGCCAAGTTTACTCACACAAGGGAGTTGCTTTAGTTTGTTATGGTGCAGACAAAAACAAAGTTAGAGAAATTATATATATTTTTATCCTAAATTGGGAAAATCGTAACAATTTCAGCCATTTTTTGGAACATTTTAAGAATATCCCAATTAAGGATGAATAATATATTAGTGTAGTTTAAAGGTAGGGTAGGTCATTCACTTCAGAAACACTTTTTGTTATATTCCATGGAATGCTCTTAACATCCCGATAGCATTCTTACCTACCCTACCTTTAAGTTGGAATCAATAAGGAAAGAAAGAAGAAATATGTTTTCTTATTTAATTCAATAAAAAAAACTATTATAAAATGGAAAATAATATTGTACAAAAACATAAAATAACCCCAAAAATTCTTGGGTAAAGTTGCAGCACATTTGTAACTTTAGATTTGGTGTGAGAGCCACATGCAGCTGGCAGTGCAAGCAGTCTTGGTATTTCTCACACACACACACACACACACACACACACACACACACACACACACACACACACACACACACACACACACACACACACACACACAACCTGCGTCCAGACACAGCGCCTGTGGTTTTTGGTGAGATTAACTATAAAAATGCAACGAACCGAGGCAACACATTCCCCGTGTTTCACTCTTTTCCACACTGTTACTCCAGAGTTATGGGCCTGATGAAGATAAACTGAGGTGGTTTTATATAAATGGCTGCGTGTGAGGCGTTACATTTACTACTTTCAGGACACTGGCAAATATGAATATGCAACTTCTTTTCATTATGCAGAGAAGCCTTGTTTTAAACCCTGAGTCTCTAACACCAACGATGTGTCCTCCTCCTCCTCCTCCTCCTCCTTCTCCTCAGAATATCCGCTCTAAAGTGGAGCTGTCGGTGTGGGAGCACCCGGAGGACATCAGCCTCTCGTTCACCGCCACCTGCCAGGACGGGAAGCCGCTGCCGGGCCTCAGGAAGTGTGCCGACCTGAAGATAGGAGACACTGTGAGTCCCTGCTCTCCTCACTTTATACATATTTAAAGCATCCTGTTGGTCCTGAAGAAGTATTCCAGTGTGGTTCTCTCCACCGTAGACTTTTTTTTCTATGTGATACAGCAAACTTTATCAGTAGCTTAATGAAGACTGTTTGAAAAATATCACTCGTCACCGGCTTGAGCTTCAATCTCAGGATCCATGTATTTCTGATCCTCTCCAGAATGGAAGTAGTCATCACATACAGAGCATCAACTAGTTCCTGAACAGTGTCCTTCACATGCTGATATCCAAGAGAGGGAGTTACACAGTCACAAGATGGAGGAATAGAAAGCAGTATTCAATGTTTACTTCAGATTAGCTCCACGTCAGAAATGATCATGCTTGTCATATGTCTATCTCCATAGAGGCTGAATCATCATGTTAATCACATAGCTATCATATGCCTAAAACAGTCCTGATGCTCTTCTAGGTAATCATACATCCTGGCATGCACACAGCTACAGTTGGGATACCTTTGTTATCATGTTACTCTGATATTAGAAGAGTACATTCAGTATTTTCCCAACAAAGACAAATACTCGATGGTCAGATCAAGTCTTACATGTTTCTTGCATCACAGCAGCTCCAGTTGCAACAAGAATGCATTAAACACAACATTACAATGAACATACAGAGCCTGCTATATGTACTGTACATTTGATCTGGTATGATCTCCAGTTCGATGGTCACAATTTCTATTTTGAGGACATTTGGAGTCAGAGACTGTGTTAATAGATAGAATAGAATAGAATCGGAAGGATGAACCCCTTTTTAATGGTCACACATGCAGAGCACACAGTGACATTTGTTATCTGCTTTTAACCCATCCTAGTACCAGGAGTCTAGTACTAGGAGCTATTGTACAGCGCCCGGGGAGCAATGGGAGTGAGGGGGGAAAGGGGTTGTCCGGTGCCTTGCTCAAGGGCACCACAGCAGGGCAGGAGGTGAACTGGGACCTCTCCAAGTAGCAGTCCACACTCCATATTTAGGTCTGGTCGGGGACTTGAACCGGTGACCCTACAGCTCACAGTCCAAGCCCCTACTGCCTGAGTCACTGCTGTATTTGTCATCTTCAGGATGGCTGTTTTTGAATGAATCAGATGTTCCATGCAGTGGGCTGTAGGGCGCTTTTAGTTTCAGCAAAAATTGTCCTGGAAAAAACATTCAAGTGAATAATGATGCTGTTGTTAGTTCATAACTATCACGTTTGCCATCACTTACTGTACGGAGGCTCAGTCATTGGTACACGTTTATTTATAAAGCTTTGTTGGGTAAACTCCCGTATTATATCTGCTCTCTGATAACACAGAGAGATGCAAGCAGCTATTGTCTGAGATCGCATGATGTAGTATTGTTAGATGTGCCAAGAGCAAGGACTGCCTTAGGTAAGACAGCTTTTATGTGCGCAGCTCCACTTGCTTGGAACAATCTTCAGCAAGAAGAAACTGAGCAATCTCATTCCTCTGCATGTTTTTAAAGCTAGGCTAAATGAAATGCTCGTTGATACCATGGGTACTTGTAAATGTCTATAACTATGTAAATGTATCCTGTAAATATAATGTATGATGTCCTTTATTGTTTTATGTTTCATGTGGAACCTATATGCTGCAGGTCTCCCTTGAAAAAGAGATCTATGATCTCAATGGGACCAATCTGGTTAAATAAAGGTTTGAAATGAAATGAAATAACTTGGTTTGTAGTATTATCAAGATAAAACATAGACACCCTTCTATGATGGAGTTTTTGCAACTACCATAGCACTAGTTTGCATTTAGGATTTGAAAAACATCGAGACAGGATGAAAAAGTCCCAAGCTTTTCTTCCAGAGATCAAATCACTTTTGTGGCACATTTAGAAAAACACATTTTTAGCATAATTGAGGGCACATGGAAATAGTTGTCAGAGTGTAGAGAGGCTGCAGATTCAAACTGATTTAAATAGTGGCTAACATTTGTGCTTTTTGTTTTGGAAATGATTTTGGTTTGGCACTGACGTTGCGATTGTTTCCAGTAAATTGCTCCCCATGTTATGATTAACAGAAAGAAAAAGGTGTTCCTGTAAATTCAATAGCTCGCAGCACATTGTAGTCAGAGGTTGAGTCATATGGTTTCAGGAAGTGTTGAATACATAATTATACAGCGCTTTAAATGGATAATAACACATTAAAGGTACATTTAAAATGCATTATAGACATGGGCATTATAGAAAGTGTTACAAAAAGTGTTTGGGCAGATATATCTATGAACTGGTAATGTTATTTGTCCATAAAAAGGAAAATCCCCCTAATAAATAATGTCTTTTTAGAGATTTTAGGTCCTGCCCTATTACTTCTACTCCGCTCAAAATGCTATTAATAATCTGAGTCAATGGCTAAAGACAGCACGTTGTGACTTGGCAATCTGTGTGACCTTTGAGTCCTCTGAAGTGACTTCCTGTCTGAGATCCAGGGGGGGGGGGGGGGGGGGGGGTTACGGTTTATGTTGCTCCTCGCTGTAACCAAAGAGACAGCGCTGGCACATGTGGAGTCGCAGTAATGAAAGTCACATCGACTCTGAGTTTCTGTGAGAGGTTACTCCGGGTCACGCTCTTTGTTGCTCTCCTCACCTGAAACTGTTCTTTGTGTGTGGATCTCTTAATAAGGCTTATCTAATCAGAGATGGCAAAAGTACACGTATCCTTTACTCAAGTAGAAGTACAGATACTCGTGTTTAAAAATACTCTGGTAAAAGTAGAAGTACTGACTAAACTTCTTTACTCAAGTGAAAGTAAAGAGGGCTTTGAAGTGTACTTCAGTAAAAAGTACCCATAACTAGCAGCTGTTTTAAAGAGTACCTGACCTCCCTTTATATTAATAGAACAATAATGTCATTGTTAGCTAATGAATGTTTCCATGCTGAACAACGGCAACATGACAACGTTTTCATTGGTCCCTCTTCTTTAGAGAAGACCAGGAAATGATGGATACACGGATCGTGTTCAAATCAATAGGCACGCAATGACTCTAAATAATAATGATCACGCCACCAAACACACATTCAAACTAAAGGAACCAGCCTGTTTGGAAAATGCAAGAAGTAGAAAGTACAGGTATTTGTGTTCAACATGTAAGAAGTAGAAAGTACAGGTATTTGTGTTCAACATGTAAGAAGTAGAAAGTACAGGTATTTGGGTTCAACATGTAAGAAGTAGAAAGTACAGGTATTTGTGTTCAACATGTAAGAAGTAGAAAGTACAGGTATTTGGGTTCAACATGTAAGAAGTAGAAAGTACAGGTATTTGTGTTCAACATGTAAGAAGTAGAAAGTTCAGGTATTTGTGTTCAAAATGTAAGAAGTCAAAGTAAAAAGTCGTCAGAACAATAAGTAGTGGAGTAAAGTACTGATACCAGAACAATGTACAGTAACGAAGTATGTGTACTCCACTACTTCCCACCTCTGTATCTAATACATCCTAACAAAGGAAATGCCTTATTACCATCAAACAGCTCTCTCTGGCAGACTGGGATCATTCCTGAGGAAATATTCTGGCTCTCAGCTGGATTTAATCTGCAGCGGATACATCTCAGAGCTTTGAGTCTCTCCCTCTTTTGTCTCCAGGCTGTGTTCATGTTGTTATTAAACTTCTGTGCAGTGACGTGCAGTCTGATAGTCGTTAGAGCTCATGGATCTGATTCTCAAACTGGACTTTCTGGATCTGCTCTCTGGTGCCTGGAGCAACAAGTACACACAATAACACAATAACACAATAACACAGCCCCATGTGTTTTATAACAGTCGTGTTTTCAATCTGAACATCGACTGCTCTGTAGGTCCAGCTTCAATCCCTCTGTTTGTGTTCAATAGTCTAGTAGCCAGCTCCTAGAGTCCTTTTGGGAACCTGGAAATGTTGAGTAAACAAAGGTTTTATGTTTGTAATGTAAAGTATTGGTCCCCAGCACATAGAAACGGCACACTTGCTTTTTTGTGATAACCACCACTGCAATATGTGACATTAAAAAAATTAATGTTTTATGATGTATTGCGGTCATGCTGTCAACAAAGGGCAGCAGATAATGACATAACATATATGATTTGATTGATTAGTTATTACGTAATGCAGTGTTATTACTTCATATATTTGTATGGCCAAGCCCCGCCCCTTTTTCCTGTTCTCCTAAATTGGGGAGCAGCTCTTTTCTTATTTTTAGGGTGAATTTTTAGATGATGCATTTAAGTGTTTTAACGATTTTCATTTTTGTGTAAAAATATTTCACAGTTTTAACTTCTTCAAATGTTTTACCTTCAAATTTTAAGTAACTTTTCTGCAATTACTAAACTTTTACTCCTTTATGTGGATTTTACTGAGTTTTAAATTGGAGTATTAGTACTTTTACTTAAGTAAAGGACCTGCATGCAGTTGGGATGCTTTCTCGGTTGCATAATGAAGTGAACATGAATGACTGTTTGTGGAGTTATTACATAATGCAGGACCTGAAACTCACTTTGTGATGAAGGCAGCTCTTGTTTTCTGTTCTCCCGACCAGCTCGTTTCTTATGTGGATTCTGGATGGTGCACCCATGTATGAGCACACATGAGAATAATATATTGAATGTTTGAAGACTGCTGTGTTTCCATGGCTCTTAGCCAGTTGGGATGCTTCTCAGTTTCTGTCTCTGAACAAAAGCCGAGGTCATGTGACCCAGGACGATGGTACATGTTAATTACTTTGCATTTTGCACAGCCCTCTCTCTGCTGGTCACTTTATATTCTATACAGGCTTCAATTAAGATCTGTCTTGAGTCCTGGATCCATTGAAAATGCTAGCAAGGGGCAGCTTCATACATGCTGTCACACAGTGGGAACTCTTCTCCTCCAAACCCCCCGTGCTTTTCTATCCACCGCTTTATTTTCCTGGGTTCTGGATGGGAAAGGGTGCCGGAGGAGCTGAGGCAGAACAACAGCCGTGAATAGAGGGGGGGCTCTGGGGTGATGGGCCTATCCTCCGCAGTGAAAGGAGATTGAGGACAGTGCGCAGGGTGCCAAACTTCCCAGTGTTTCTGAGGATGTGGCCCAGGGTTTCAGTGTGTTAGCTCGCCATGGAGCCTCATGCTGCATCTCAATGACCTCACACAAAAGTAGGCAGGAGGAGGCCTGAGACACTGAAAGCCATGAAAGAAGTGAAAGAAGAAGTGAACTGGCAGGAGGAGAAATGCTAGCTGCAGTGGATGCAGTTAAGATGGCTTCATTCTGGAAATGTATGACGTTGAATAGGCTTCAGGCAATTTAATGAAAGAGTTTTGGTGTTTTAATTTGATTATGTGTTGTTTAGTTTGAGCTTCATTTACAGTATCTCAGTTAATTGAATTGAAGTCAGTTATAAGAACTTAAGTCAGTTATAAGAACTTACAGAGCCGGCCAGCTAACCAATCAGATCAGACTGGGCTCTGGTTTCAGACAGAGGGTGAAAGACACATGATGTAGACACACAATTTATATTAAACTTTACCGGATAGGGGACTTTATGCTGCATTCAGGTGGTGTAGGAATATTCTGAAAATTAGCTTGAACTCTCACTGAAATTGGAACAACATTTGGTTATAGTATGATCCAAATGTGTCCTTAGTGGAGGTTTGCTCTGCTCTTGTATCACGTTGTCCTGTACACATTTGATTCAGTCGTCCCACCTCTTTAATAGTAAGTTCAACACCGTGCCTCTCCTATCCTTCCCTGAACTGATTCCCTACTATACATCTCTCCTCGAATTACATTACTCGCTGTCGAGGCGTTTTTCTCAATGAGTTTAGTCTCAATGTATCATCTCCTTACCCCCACTGTCCTCCGTTACTACTACTTCCTGCTAACTTTTTGAACCGTTATATCTCCACAACCTCCCAGTTGTCCTCAGCAGGCACATGATCCTCGCGACTCATATTTACAGTTAATCTAATTGTGTCCTTCGTTAACTCGTTAAGCTTCCCGCGCTCAAGGGGGGAGTCCGGGTAACATGTGACGTAGACCTTTCCTGTGTCATGAATCAGCTTGTTATATATGCTGGATAGTAAAATCCCTATATATCTTGATTTCTTTTAGAAAAGAGGGTTGGTATTTATGGTTAAAATGTTGGATGTTGTTGCATTTGGTGTCAGTGTTAAGTCTTTAAGATTAAATAAAGTGATAGAAAACAAAGTTAATGATACCAGAGTTTACAGTGAGTCGTATTTTTTTTTAACAAAACATGCTTGACAACAGACTAGCAGTGTGTTTACGTATCATTATTTCTTACGTTTCCCATCATAACCTGCATTAATTGTTTGTTATAGTCAATTTTGATCGTCCTGGAATCTTATGGCGGTGATCATTTAGACTACAGCTGGGAAAAATAGCAAAAAATAAATAGAAATTGCCATATATTTATCTATTTCAATTAAATGTGTTTTATTTTTCATGCAAAAATAACAGACAAAGCTGTTTTTGCACCTCTTAATATGGAGATTTCCTGCATCACCTTGGACTTGACAACAGGTCTAGACATTGTTTACTGTATTCTGACATTTTATCAGGGTGTCTGCGGGGTCTTTAAAAGTATTAAAAGTTGATAAATCAATTTAGTGAAAATGAAGGCTATTAAAAAGTATTAAAGGGCATTTTCCAAGGTATTACATTTTGTAGCTTGTTTTCAATAAGTATATAAATTGTCCAAAGAGGTTGTATTCTACAGTCTGCCTGAATGTAATCATTGCGTAGGTGTGTAGTGTGATTCTGTGTAGTTTATTTAGGGCATCCCGTTGGATTTGACGTCATCTGAACAGGACATCGCACGCTCACTGCTTGATAGCGCGCGAAGGTCCGTTTACGCCGGTTGTTAAACAACATCGTTATGGGGAAATGCAAGTCTGCGTCCAAATGGTTGGAAGATAAGGAGGAAGGACAATCAATACTGTATATAGTCAATGTGAGGTAAAGTGTGTCGCCAAGGTAACCGGTTAAAACTCGAAGTGGTGATGAGGTCTTAAAATGTATGGAAAGGGTCTTAAAAAAGATCTTAAAAGGTCTTACATTTGACTTCAGGATTCCTGCATATACCCTGATTTGTAGACCAAAATATTCAATGATCAATCTAAAGAATAAGTTGCAGATCAATCAAATAATGAAAATAAACTTAGTTGCCTAATTTACACCTTGTAGTGGCTTTTCCAATAATCAAATTCTTCCACATTTTCAAACAAATAACATATTTAATCTTAACCAGTATCAACCAGTCAAGCTGATGCATCCTTTTGCAAAGATTACAATACAGATTAATAACTGTTTGAGATGTCCTGATTTTTTTATTTTTTTATTTGGCTGCCAAGCATACAGTGGATGTATTCGCCAGATCTAGGCAGAGAAAGGTTATATTTACCTTTTTGTTCTACACATTTGAGCCCACATGCTCTGCCCAGGTTGTGACATGTTTGGTCTCGACGTGCCCTTTACTCACAGATCCCAGATCAGATGTTCCTGCCAAGAACAGCAGGTGCTGCGAGGGTGGATATTTGCTTTTGGTGCGAAAACTTCAGTTCATCTTCTGAGGCTCAAGTGCTTCTAGTCAGAGCTTCAAAGCGGAAATATTTCTAAGCCTTTGAACCACATTTGATGAGAGTGTGCAACCTTACCTCACTTGTTCACAGCTTTAAAGAGTGGAAATCTGGCAAATGAACCTCATTATCACGAGAACATGTGTGCTCTTTCTCAAGCATTTCATCATAGTCTTATATCTGGTGTTTGAGCAGTCAGTTTGCACATTTGTAGCAGCATCATTTCATCAATTTAAGTCGAGGCAACATCAAAGAAAAAGCCCCGAGCTCGCCTTTGAACAGACAGCGCTGAGGATGGCTGCTGTGATTGAGTAAAAAAAGAGTAAAATACCAGACGAACGTGCTCCTGTTGGAACAGAAAAAACAGCCGGGGTTGGGTTTCTGTTCTTGTCAAGACTTCCTTCCTCCGAGCAATCAGATGGGTGTTGGTCTTGTATCGTGTCTCGCTTTCTGCCACAGGCAAAAGCCACATCAGCTGCACACTGCAAACTCAATTTTGGGTGAAATAAGCCCACTGGTGTGAGCGTAACAACACAGGGTCATGTGTGGGTCACGTCCACAGGCTGGCAGCACTTAAAAGGTTTGTATGGTAGCTGTGTTTGCTCTCATAAAAAAAATATAGGGTGGGATGACATCACCTAGAAAGAGAAGAGATTGGAGGTTTTTGTATTTACTCTATCTCTCAAATCATCTGCACTTGAGGCAAGGCAAGTTTATTTAAATAGCACTTTTCAACACAAGGCAATTCAAAGTGTTTTACAAAATGAAAGACATTAAGAGCATAAAACACATTAGAAAAAGCAAAGATAATAAAACATGAATAATACAGGTACATGAATAAAAGTTGCAGTGTGAGATGTGAATAGTTCAATTAAAAGCAGCGGCAAAAATAAAGTCTTCAGCCTGGATTTAAAAGTAGTCAGAGTTGCAGCGGACCTGCAGGTTTCTGGGAGTTTGTTCCAGATATTTGACAAGACCCCTAACCAAATTCTCCCATTCTTCTACCCCTAGTCTTCCCGTGAAATTATAGTTCTTTTGACACTTATCTTACCTTTTTATATTCCTTTCACCCTTCTCTTTCAATCATTTTGCGTCCTCAGACAACAACTTGACTTGAACTCTTCTCATTCCACAAACAGGAAGTCACTATCTTTTTCTCCATCAGTGCGAGTGTTTGTGCATTTTCTAATTACACCACTTGTTTCTTTGTAGGTATCGTTTAACGTGAGTGTGGAGGCGAGGAGCTGCCCCCCCCGCGGCACCGAGCAGAGCTTCACCATCAAGCCGGTGGGATTTAAAGACAGCCTGCAGGTCTCTGTGGATTATCAGGGGTGTGACTGTGGCTGCAGCCGGACGGCCAACACCAACAGCAGCATCTGCAGCAACATAGGTAGATTCAAGAAGTGTTCAAGATTCAAGGCTTTTATTGTCATGTGTGCATAGCTACAGTGTAGATATGTCAATGAAATCACAGGCTCCTCCAACAGTGCAACACAATAAAACAGACAACATATTTAAAGTGCACCTATCATGCTATTTTTAGGCAATAGCATCAGGTCTCAGATATATTCAAATATATCAAAAACATGTCTATGAAGTGTTTTGCTCAAAATACCAAACAGATCACCCATTCTAGCCATGCCTCATATCCCTCTATTTCACTTCCTGTTTCAAAAGTGCTGATTTGGGGTATAAAGCTTAAAAAAAAATAAAAAAGGAGGGGGCTGAGCTCATGCGGGACCCGGCAGCTGCTGTCTAAACTAAATACTGCCGTGATGAAACGCCATATCATGGATTATCAAGGATTATTACTGAAACAGTATGGAGCTCAAAGGCTTTCTCTCTTGCCGGTTATACCACAAGGTGAGTTCCTTTTTATTTCCTGCTTCTTCACACACATGCTCTCCAGTACAGGTTAGCTCTGAGTGTTAGCGATGCTAATGTAAACACCGACCATATTACGTCCAAAACAGTCGGGCATTGTTTCTGATAGCAACGTTTCTGATAGTGCCGTGGGTCCACATTTCCGATATTACATCATATCGGACGCAAATCTGGATCAGCTCCGTTGTAGCCCCGTTTTTAGAGATTTGGGTATGGAGGAAAAGAGAGAGGGTTTTATTTTCTGACGCTGCGTGAGTTCCCCGACACACCGGGGACACATATTGATGTAGAAAAGACATCAAAAAGTGCATTTTGCATGATAGGTCCCCTTTAAAATAGTGCAAGTAATACAAATAGAATAGAATAGAAATAGTGCAAGGAGAGTAATTGGAATATGATATATTAGATAAATAATTTGTAAGTTGCAGACAGATGAATGTTATGGATGTCCTTTCAAAAGGTAGTGCATTACATTGGACATTTCACAGCTCAATGATATAACATAAGAATATTACATTATGGTTTTAAAGAGAATCAGGGCACAAAACTAGCACAACGTACGAGCTAAATTATAGTAAAATATGCTAGTGGATGGCAGATTTGAATAATTGACTGGCAAAGAAAATGGCTGTCACAATTTGAACAAATAATTGCCATATGGCCAGTGACAAAAGAGTTAGTCTTCAACACTGAGAAGTGGTTTGATGCATTCAAAGGAGGAGATTAGGAGTAAATGCTCAAGGGTTGAATTACCCTGGCATCAACAAGGCTCATAATAATATGTTCTTACCCCCTTGAACAAATCTAGGGATTTATCTGCATTGTTTTAAAGTAAAAATGTCCCTAAAGAAAACCAATTTACTGCAAAAACTTTTACATTTGCAGTTAACATTTCTGTTAGTTTTGTCTTCAGTTTTGTTTTGGTCTATTTGAATCTTACTAACTATTAGCAACTAGATTGGTTTTTAATTCCTTTTCGTTTGTTTCTCTTGGTTGTTGTTAATGTCAGTCACACAGCAGAGATTGACAGCATCTCCCAGCAGGAAACAAAACTATTTTTAAAAGCCATGGGACTTAAATCTCCATGTGAAAGGAACCTCCTGTAACACCCACCACAGCCCTTGTTAATCACACAGGACAGAAACCTGCTGCTCTTCAGCTTCCTGAAGTGTTTACGCCTTCGAGGAAGTCAAACACCTCAATCACTGATGGCAGACCTGCTATTTTGTTCTGCAACTAAACAAAACTTCTACTTTTACCCCCAAATTGAACTACTTTCCTTGGCATAATTACGGAGAAGCTCTCACTTGTGGTTGTGTTGAGATAATGGTGGACAATAAAGCCAAAATTATACTCTGTGCATTGAGATACCCTAAAAGCAATACAGTCATATCAGTGTAGTGAGTGCCTTAAATGACTAAGTGGGTACGTTTAAAACACTATAATCTGGCAGGAAACATTTCAGATGTCAGGAACTACTGTTCATTAGGGTTTATATTCAATGTAATATTTAATAATCCATTCCTTGCACAATTAATGTTTATATAATATCCTGCTTTATATGTTGTTATGTTGTCCACATGTATATTTTTGACTTTTTTAATGCTATTTTATTTCTATTTGAGAAATATTTTGGATTGTTTATTTCTCGTCTTTTAATTTCTCTTATTGCCTTGTCTTTTTATGCTGCTGCAACGCAAACATTTCCCAAATTGAGATCAATAAAGTGCATCTTATCTTATTTTCAGAGATAAATGAAATGATCGCAACAGCTAGAAACTGAAGTTGTGAACTGAAACTGAAATACATTTTATTTAAAAGATTAGGATGCCAAGCATACAGTGGTTGTATCTGCAATATCCAAGCAGCGAAAGGTTATGTTTACCTTTTTGTCTACACATTTGAGCCCACATGCCCTGCCCAGGTTGTGACATGTTTGGTCTCGACGTGCCCTTTACGCACAGATCCCAGATCAGATGTTCCTGCCAAGAACAGCAGGTGCTGCAAGGGTGGATATTTGCTTTTGGTGCGAAAACTTCAGTTCATCTTCTGAGGGTCAAGTGCTTCTAGTCAGAGCTTCAAAGCGGAAATATTTCTTAGCCTAAGTACCACATTTGATGAGTGTGCAACCTTACCTCACTTGTTCACAGCTTTAAAGAGTGGAAATCTGGCAATTAAACCTCACTATCACGAGAACATGTGTGCTTTTTTTCTAAGCCCCATATTCTTATTTCAGTCAGACAACTCACGTGTTTCTCTAATATGTTTATTAGAAGCAGCATATAGTTGAGTTTGGCATCTAGGCTCGGGCCTCATCACTCCACAGATATACATAGCACGATGAGTGATGATTAAATAACTAACCCCCCGAGCCTACAGGTGGAAGCTGGGGTGGAAGCTGGGGTGGAAGCTGGGGTGGAAGCTGGGGTGGAAGCTGGGGTGGAAGCTGGGGTGGAAGCTGGGGTGGAAGCTGGGGTGGTGGGGGGGCAGGCGAGCAGCAGCGACGTGGAAGTAGCTCCAGCAATAGCAGGTTAAATAGAGCGGCATATTAAGGAGACTCTGTTTGGTTGGTTGTAGAGTGGCAAGGGGCGTTCTGTATGAATGCAGCATAAGTGCTCGAGTTGACTGCCTGAACTAGCTCGCAGGCTTCGCCCCATATATGGCGTTTTAGCAGTCAGTTTGCAAAAAATGAAATGATCACCACAACAGCTAGAAACTGAAATTGTGCAGCTGAATAATCCTAAATGCAATTAGTGATTAAAGTGTGTTTTGCCCCCTGCAGGTACCTATAACTGCGGGACGTGTCACTGTGAGCCGGGGTACCTGGGCGCTCGCTGCGAGTGTCAGGAGGGCGAGTCGGGTAGCTCGTACCTGAGCGCCTGTCGCGAGGCGGAGGGCAAGCAGGTGTGCAGCGGGCGGGGCGAGTGCAGCTGCAACCAGTGCCTCTGCTACGAGTCCGAGTTTGGGAAGATCTACGGGAGCTACTGCGAGTGTGACGACTTCTCCTGCGCCCGACACAAAGGCATCCTCTGCTCAGGTAGGAACAGCGGGGGGAAGACGTACTGAGATATCTTACTCAAGTAGAAGTAGCATTGTAAAAAGACTGTGTTATAAGTAAAAGAAAACGCACAAAAGAATCGGCATCAAAATATACTTTAGGTACCAAAAGTAAAAGTACTTGTTATGAGTAATGGCCCTTTTAAGCGCATTAATGTATACAATTACTGGATATGATATTGATGTATTAATGTGTTCATTACAACTGGTAAAAATAATGTCTACTTTAAAAAAACTCAGTTGCGATATACGGTTTTAAAGTTAAGATTTTATTAGATAATTTGATATGTATTTATCTAAAATTTAATTTTTCACAGCAGCATGTTAACATTACACATGAAAACTTGAATAACATTTTAATTTGATAAATTCTTTAAAATGTTATTCAAGTTTTTTTTTAACTCATGTGTGGCCATTGACATCTAATCAACCTATAATAAGATGTCAATGTTTATTTATATTTGTTTTCTTTTAGCTCATAATCTAAATCTATAAAGTAACTACTAATGAAATAAAGGTAGTCAAATGTATATTGGCTTATAAAAGGTAGTTGAATAGTACCATAAAATAGATATAGACATGTTAAATACAAGTACATTCCTAGAGTAAGTATTTACTATATCCTACTGCTGGTTAGGAATAACATCCACTAAAGTCGTACATTTCCTCTGAAGCGTGTCCTTGTATGTAAGTGTGTGTTCCTGAGCTGGTGTTTTGAACCACAGCTGCTCCCTGGAGACTTGCCTTAAGGAGAAAACAGGCTGGCATCAAACATGCTGTAAACTCCTCAGATCTGCTATACTTGTTTCAGGTTATAATTAAAAAGTGATGCATGATGTTGGGTCATGTTGCCATACCTGCTCTGGGTGTGTCCCGGTGGTTTGGCCTCTGACTGAAACCCAGATTCTATGTTTTCAGTCACCTGCAGGTTCGCTGGCGGCTTCCCAAAAGAGGCTCGGAGACGCAGCTGTGATAGTAGTTGTTCAGTTGTTCAGTTGTTCAGATCCTGTTTTCTTGTCTGCCTCGGAGGGCTTGTTTTGGTTTGATGCTTGTCTTGGGGTGATGGAGGACGTGAGAGAGGGGGGAAGACACTTCATTTTCTTGTTTTGCAGGATGGAAGTAAATACAGTGATTTAAAAACATGCTTGGGTAGGAGAGCTTCCTGGACTTAAAACCTGTTGTTTGAGGTGTTTTTGGAAACGGATCCATGTAGAAAATCAGAGTTCATTTTGACCTATTCCACATATCCACATAGTTACACCTTGTTGCAGTTTACAGTATGTATTGTCCTGTGCAGTATTTAAAGAGGAAAAACCATGCAGATTTTCCGTGTCATAGCATGTGACATGGTAACAATAAAAGTCCAATATGACTAAGCGCATTTCATAGTTTAAAAATAGTATCTTGGAATTTTCCTGTGGTTTCTGTAAATTAATTGCAAGACAGATTGACCACAAGAATTGTGCGATAGACTTTTATTGTAATTAAATATTATTATATATTGTAGCACATTTTTATTTACATTTTCAATGTTGTCTTATTTGATCTTTAATTGGACATTTGACCCTAACTTCTTATATTTATTTAAACATTTTCATTGTATTTTAATTGAACTTTTTTATTGCAAGGTCCCCCGTTATCTTATTATGTTTATTTACATTTTTGTATTATTTTATTTATGTTTTATTTTTATTTTATTCTTAAATGGAGCAACTGTCACACACCAAAGGTTAAATAAAATATTCTGATTCTGATTAAAAACCAACAACATGGAGATTGTACAGGGACACTTTCATTATCTCCATTTTGCCATCCTGCAGCATAAATATTCTCCGTTCATCAGAGATTCATGTCTCGGTTTCAGTTTAAAATCCTCTCTCTCTCTCTCTCTCTCTCTCTCTCTCTCTCTCTCTCTCTCTCTCTCTTTCTCTCTCTTTCTCTCTCTCTCTGAGCTCTCTCTCTTTCTCTCTCTCTTTCTCTTTCTCTTTCTCTCTTTCTCTCTCCTCTGCTGCCCAAACAGACTCGGTATGAAAAGCCAGATTTGGCTCCGTGTCTCGGCTCCAGCGAACAGGCCGGGGTTGTTTTTGTTCCCAGAACATCGGGTCCAGGACTCTGGTTCTGTTCCCTGAAACCACAGAGAGCGCTTTGTGCCAGGGGGGGAGGGGGGGGGGGCAGGCAGCTTTGGCGCGATCCCTCCTCACACAATGGCTGCCTGTATTTATCTATCGCCAGTAGAAACAGAAGTCTTTCGTTTAGTCAGCAGGACACGCTGAGTGCACAGATGCAGAATGGCTGTTTGTTTGTGCCGGTCATCCATAAGCAGTCATTAAATCTTAACAGTCCACTACGTTCTGCCGCTCTCCTGTCCTCGTTTCTCAGCGTGGATGCAGCCATCATTAGTTTCAAGTTTTTCGTGCACTTTCCCTCCCAATCTGACGGGTAATTATTGTGGAGAGTCCTGTGTGAGATATGCTGTATTCTGTGCTTGCCCGTTTCTAAAAACCAACAGGAAATACTCATAATATAATAATACATTTCATTTATATAGCAAAAGCAAACTTTAAAAACAGCGTCATCTCAAGCTCACAATGCTATAAGGAGAAAATAATAAACACATAACATAAAAAGTTATCTAATGAGCATATTGAATAAAATATGGTAATATAAAAAAGGTTAAGTGCATAAAATGTTAGAATACAAAATAAGGTCTGTTAGGAGCCCCTTAGCAAGCAGAAATATGTTGCTAAAGGTATTTTGCTCCACATTGACTCGGTCTGGGAGAATCAGACTGGTGAGCGCCTGAAGGCACCGCAGGTTTTATTAAAGAGGAAATCAGCTGGCATGGTATCCTCAGAGGAGCTTAAAGAAGACTTTGCCTCCTTGGAAGTCTGAAAGGAGTTTTCCCATGGGGCTCAGCGAGGTGTAGCTATCAGCCCGGGAATCTGACAAGACGCTTAGAGAGCGAGCCAAGGTCACACTTATCAATCAATAAATCAATAAAACGTTACATTTAAAAAAAACTTCAATTCAAATCTCTTTAGTGGAGAGGAAATGAGATCAAATAAGGCCTCATTTAATGGCTTTTCTAAATGAAAGAATGCAGTTAGACCAAATAAGACCTACCCAGTATCACATGTTCTTCATCAGTGGATAGCGTTTTATCATTTGGAGAGAGGTGTGTTTGTTCATAGGACCTTTGGGATCTCTAGTCTGTGTTTGTCTAAAATATGAGCATGTCCATATTTGACCTCTTTGAGAAAACAAACTCTAAGTAATTTTGAGCTAGTTTTGATCAGTGGATGGAGTTTGCTCAGTTTTAACAAGAGATCTGTCAGATATACTTGGAATAGATGTGTTATGGGGACGTGACTCAAGATAAGTCAGAGCAAACCAACTTAACTTCTCCGTTCTTGTCCACTTTAATGCCGTCAGGGGTGTGTGTGTGTGTGTGTGTGTGTGGTGTGGTGTGTGTGTGTTGTGTGTGGGTGTGTGTGTGTGTGTGTGTAGTGTGTGTGTGTGTGTGTGTGTGTGTGTGTGGTGTGTGTGTGTGTGTGTGTGTGTGTGTGTGTGTGTGTGTGTGTGGGTGTGTGTGTGTGTGTGTGTGTGTGTGTGTGTGTGTGTGTGTGTGTGTGTGTAGATGTGTGTGTGTGTGTGTGTGTGTGTGTGTGTGTGTGTGTGTGTGTGTGTGTGTGTGTGTGTGTGTGTGTGTGTGTGTGGTGGTGTGTGTGTGTGTGTGGTGTGTGTGTGTGTGTGTGTGTGTGTGTGTGTGTGTGTGTGTGTGTGTGTGTGTGTGTGTGTGTGTGTGTTGTGGGGACATGAGGCAGCCGAACACACAAGAACACACAACTCCCCAGTGTCCGTCATACTGGAGTTTTATTCTGGTGTAGCTGAAGATTTACTGCAACACTCAGCACATACTTGATGAGGAAATGTTTTCTTCTCTTCCCATGAAATGTGTCATAAACGCTTCTTGCTGTGACTCCATCTTACTGAAATGTGTTTATGTTATGCTCGGCTGTGATAAGATATCTCTGTGGCAGCAACTTGTTGGTAGTCTGATGAATAAATGAGATTCATGCTGGTTTCATTACAATAGACTTGGTCACTGAGTCACTGAGCTGTTAGTGTGTTTGTAGATATGAGTTCACGCTGTATTGTGCTTTGGCTGACTCAGGTTCAGTTAAGGTGTTGTTTTGGGTGAACCTGCTTAGTGCAACACATGTAATGTTGAGCAGACACTTACAGGGATAATCTAATCAATCAAGGAAATCTGACCATAAACAACAACTTTGATGTAAGCCTTAATATCTTGTGGTAGCATTTATTTACAAAAATCACGTCACACTGACATTAAAAAACGTATGGTAAAGAAGTAGAAGAGGCGAGAGGGTGTACTGTATCTGTGTCTTAAAGGTGGAAGATGTGCAGACAAACTAAAACCTCAAAGTCCAAACGTCTATCAGGTTGTAAGAGTTTGACTGTGGGTCAGTGGGCTGATTGCCACTAAGCGCAGAGGGGACCGTGCTTTCTCTGCTGCCGCCCCTAAACTGTGGAACGACCTGCCCTTGCTAATCAGACCCACACTGTCTGTTTTTAAATCCCGTCTTAAAACCCACCTTTTCTCCTTAGCATTCGGAACCAAGTAGATTGTTGCTTTTATTTGCTTTCAGTGGTCTATTGTTTTTATTATATGGCTGTTTTTTATTTTGTAATTGTTACGTTTATTCTGGTTTGTTTTGTGTTTGTATCTTTTATTTTAAATGTATTTATTTCATGTTTTGTGAGCTGAGCTGTGTGATTTTATATTGTATGTATCTCTCTGTACTGCACTTTGGTCTGGAGGTTTTAAAGTGCTATATAAATAAAGTTGGATTGGATTGATAACGGTTCTCAGGCAATGATGAGCTCTCTTTTAGCACCTGGGGCTGCAATTTAGTTTTTCTTATTATTAATTATTAGGTTTATATGATTTTAGAAAAT